ACCTTCCTCTAGCCATAAATTATGAACGGTCCCCGAGCACGTCACGCCGACGACCCGGGTTCGAATCCCCACATGGGTACAATGTGTGAAGCCCATTTCTGGTGTCCCCCGCCATGATATTGCTGGAATATTGCTAAAAGCGGGGTAAATCTAAACGCACCCAGTATATATAAAATCATCCTTGGACAACACGAATTACACGAACAATAAATCTTGATAAACACATGTAATAGTGGCCATTTTATAAACATATAGAACAGTGCTATACACTGTCTGTAACTGACCGTCAACCTCTGTACCAGGAATTGGAGGAAACATTCAGAAGGCATCTCATCCGACTTGTCAGAAGTTTGCATATTTGTTTCCCTTCTTCAACATGTAAATACATATGAACTTGAGCCAATGAATCTGTATCTGTATATTACTACCAAGGACGACTGGTCAGGAATTTAGAATAATGTCAACGTCTGTAGTGAGTGAGTGAGTTTAGTTGTACGCCGCACTCAGCAATATTCCAGCTATATGGCGGCGGTCTGTAAATAGTCGAGTCTGGACCAGACAATCCAGTGATCAACAGCATGAGCATCGATCTGCGCAATTGGGAACCGATGACACGTGTCAACCAAGTCAGCGAGCCTGACCACCCGATCCCGTTAGTGGCCTTTTACGACAAGCATAGTCGCCTTTTGTGGCAAGCATGGGTTGCTGAAGACCTATTCTACCCCGGATCTTCACGGGTCGTCAACGTCTGTAATCTGCAATGTGGTGAAACCTTTGTTAACAAGGTGGATAACATCATAACAGGTGCTGCTGCTGCTGCCTATGTATGCCGCAGTATGGTTACGCTTTTTCTCAAACTCGTGAGTGAGTGAGTTTTGTTTATCGCCACTATGAAGTGGTTTAGAGGCATATGGCGGAAGACGGTGAGTCAGATTAATATGGAAGGTGGGTGAGCCAGTGAGTTTTGTTTATCGCCACTATGAAGTGGTTTTGAGGCATATGGCGGAAGACGGTGAGTCTGATTAATATGGAAGGTGGGTGAGCCAGTGAGTTTTGTTTATCGCCACTATGAAGTGGTTTTGAGGCATATGGCGGAAGACAGCGAGTCAGATTAATATGGAAAGTGAGTGAGCCAGTGAGTTTTGTTTCACGCCGATTTTAGTCATATCCAAGCAATATCACACCTGGGAACACCAGAAATGGGCTTCATACATTGTACTCATGTGGGGAATCGAACCCGGTTTTTCCGCGTGACGAGGGAAAGCTTTAACCACTCGGCTACCCCACCGCCACAAATGTGAAGGAAAACCTGAAGTGATGCCGATCTGAGGAGTTTATATCTGTGGTGAAACCCACAATACTATGGTGCTGAGAAACCCAGAAACATAAGCATGGTGAACCAGATTCAAACCCATGATCATAGGATTCTGTATGTCCAGGGGAAGTAACTCCTTCCGTTGCTCTGGGCAGCTGTGCTACCCGATCATCCAGTGATCTCTACTGGTGACTTGATAACCTGGATCAATACAATATAAATTCAAATACGCGGTGACAATCTGTACAACTCGGGTACAAGAACGTATATTGTACTATCTAGTACTCCTTTCAACTAACTATTGAAACACTGAAGCCAAGCATAACATGGACTTGTAAAAGGTTATATTGCCATGAATAGAAACATTGTTCCACCCATGTGAATCACATGATCTTCTCGTGTTTTCTTGTGCTAGATACCCACTGACCTCTGAACATGGTCAGATCCATTACACTGCAATTCTTGGTCTTAAGGACACTACTGATAAGATATCAACACATCTGTCACTTAGCAACAAGAGTCAAACTACCCACCTTGTTCCTTCGCTAGATTATTGGAATTCACTCCTGATTGAGAGAATCATCGGCTCATCATTGTATCCATATTGCATCATTGAGCAAATCTTTGACTCCTGATTAAATGAATCACTGTATTATTGAGTGCATTATAGACTCCTGACTGAGAGAATCGTTGCATCATCAAGGGATTTACTGATTATTACATCGAGTGAATTATTGAATCATCACTCGGTGAATTATTGACTCATCATTTGCATCTTCGAGCAAATCATTGTCTCTCGATTAAATGAATCATTGCATCAATGAATAAATCACTGACTGATTATTGCATCATTGAATGAATTATTGACTCATCATTGCAACATCAAGCAAATTATTGTCTCCTGATTAAACGAATCATTGCATCACTGAATGAATCACTGAGTGACTACTGCATCACTGAATGAATCACTGAGGATTACTGCATCACTGAATGAATCAGAGTGATTACTGCATCACTGAATGAATCACTGCATCACTGAATTAATCATTGAGTGATTACTGCATCACTGAATGAATCACTGAGTCATTACTGCATCACTGAATGAATCACGGAGTCATTACTGTATCACTGAATGAATCACTGAGTCATTACTGCATCACTGAGTCATTACTGCATCACTGAATGAATCATTGACTCTTGATTGAGTGACTCACTGACTATACAATGTTTTGCTGTCAAAACTGTCCAATTGCATCACCAAACCAGAGTTTAACCTGGACCATGAGTTGCTCAATCCTTATCTTACCATTAATGCTGTGTGCCAGGCAACATATAATCTTGTAATGTTTATTTATTTTTTATCATTATGGTATAATATTCCAAAATTGTTTGGTATGATGCAGCCAGGTACCTCGAGGCAGATCATCTGCCCACTTGACTGCTAGAATGACAGCCCTTTCCATAAAGCTGTGTTAGTCCTCCACCAATCGACATGATGTCGACCCGTCAAAATCTGGGTTAGAATTGGTCTTCAGCAACCCATGCTTGTCGTAAAAGGCGACTAATGGGATCGAGTAGTCAGGCTCGCTGACTTGGTTGACACATGTCATCGTATCCCAGTTGTGTAGATCGATGCTCATGCTGTTGATCACTGGATTGTCTGGTCCAGACTCGATTATTTACTGACCGCCGCCGCCATATAGCTGGAATATTGCTGAGGTGTTAAACACACAAACAAACACGATGTCAATAGCTGGTCCATTATTCACAGACTCACATGACGCAGCTATATTGCTGAGTGTGGCATTAAGCAACAAACTAACATTCACAGTGACTGAATTCTTCAAGTTTGCAATGCTCAGTATTGTAGTTTCATTGTGGATCAAATACTAACCTTTAATCCCCACAGAAAATCTAGCCTATACGACATTTGAGTCATCACAAGTGCAATAAAGAGAGTCAGGCATGCACAAGTTGAACTTTTATTGAACAAGATTTATATAACAGTAAAGAAATGAACAATTCCTGTTACAGTTACATCAAACCCATTGCATTCTGAGCTGATTAATACAATGTTCCATCAAATATGACTACATGTGACTGGGAGTATTTTAGATGATATTGCCTTTAAACTAAATCTCTGCCTTGCCTTTGACTGACTGACTGACTCAGTATGGTTTTACGCAGCTTTTAGCAATATTCCAGCAACATCACGGCTGGGGACACCAGAAATGGGCTTCACACATTGTACCCATGTGGGGATTCGAACCCGGGTCTTCGGCATGACAAGCCAACGCTTTAACCATTAGGCTACCCCACCGCGCCGCCTTGCCTTTGAACTAAATCTCTGCCTTGTCTTTAGGTCAAAATCAATGTCCCATGAGCAATCATCATTTTCAATATAGACAAGGAGAAAACCCAACATCAATATCCCCTGCCACCCTATGACTCCTGATTGGGTGAATAATTGACTCCTGATTGGGTGAATAATTGACTCTGGATTGGTTTAATCAACGGTTAATCTTTGCATCAATGAGTGAATCATCAACTCCTGATTGGGATAATCATTTCTATGGTGAACACCTAACCATCGATATCCCCTGCCACCCTATCTCTAGTTCTGATTAGTTATATATACATGAAAATGGAGTTTTTATGTTAGAAAGTTATTGCACTTTTTTCTGGTTGTAGAAAACAAACATATCCTAAAAATGAGAACTCTCTGCAAGTACATTCAATCACAAAGGCAGCTCCTTTACTGACATTTCCTGATGAGAAATTTCTGCGAGCAAATTGAATATTTGAAATTACTGCCATGCAGCATTACTGACCTTCACCTATAGATCTGATAATTAAGAACTCTCAGGACTGTATAAACAAGTGTTTGCCACTGATATGGCAATGTCCCCAGCCGCTAAAGAATGGAATATCTATATTTACTACTTTTTATTTTTGGGTCACATACAAGATGCCTGAAATGACTAGTGTCTGCATAATTACCCAATGTAGGCTGTCAACATACTTGAAAACATTGGGTGCAATGTTTTATGAGATATCGCCTTTAAAAAGCGGTCAAAGTATCGTGGTGACCTTGAAGATAAGGTTAAGGTCACCCAAAATCAACTGGTGTCTGCGTAATCCCCCAATGTATGCTGTCACCAACTTTGAAGACATTGGGTACAACCGTCCATGAAATATCGCGTAAACGTCACCCAAATCGCGTGTAACAAGAGTCAAAAGCGTGCAAAGTGTCATGGTGACCTTGAAGATAAGGTAAAGGTCACCCAAATCGACTGGTGTCTGCGTAATTACCATATGTAGGCTGTCACCAAATTTGAAGACATTTGGTACAACATTTCATGAGATATCGCGTTAACAAGAGTTTGAAAAGTGGTCAAAGTGTCATGCTGACCTTGAAAATAAGATAAAGGTCACCCAATTCGACTGGTGTTTGCATAATCTCCCAATGTAGGCTGTCACTAAATTCTAAGACATGGGGTTCAACACTTCATGAGATATAGCGTTAACAAGAATCGGGATGTACGTACGGAAGGACGCCGCTGAATACATAGTCCCCCGTTCCGCGTTGCGGCGGGGGACAATAAGGGATCGAATGCATAACAGTAAATGGTAATGAATGACACAACCACGTTTCTCAAAGGAGTATAGTTTTAAGGATAAACAATTTTCGCCAATTACATCTAACTAATGACCTTCACTTTTTCGTGAAATGTGCTTAAAATTCTGTTGGGCCATTAAAATTTTTAAGTTGAAATACATGACCTTTCTTGGAAACTTTACTGCAATAAAGAGAGTGAGACAACACCTACATGACGGTTCATTTCAAGCGACATATCGCTTGACCTAGTTTCATCCCTAATAACTTCAGTGCCCATTTACTGTGGAAAGACATTGTTTATTAAATTAAGCATGCAAGGGAGGTAATTGTGAAGAAATAAAAAAACATGGTATAAGATATAAAACAGTAAATATATTCAAAACAATATTGTTCATATTGTATTAAACATGAGTGTGTTGATTAAAATTGGGGAAATTATTTACTGGAAATATAATTTGATGAAATATGAGTGTGCTGCCCTGTTGATGCTTGATTCAAAACCTTTCTTGTACGCAGGTGGTAGTTCTAGTGACATCTGTTACATTGTCACCTTGTACGAGTCTGAGACATTGGCGAGGGCGGGAATGATCTCATAGTAGATATCAATGCCACGCAGGAAGATCTTCTCATTGAGGAACTCATTGTGGTCGTGCAGCAGGACGGGTGTGTGATTTATGGGGGAGAATCCTATTGAGGGGATGCCACTCTGGAAAGAAGAGACAAGTTTTTAAAGAACCATACCTGATATGAAATATCTCAACAATTACTGACGTTGACTGTATTTACAAATTTGTTATTGAGTGACACAAAGTTGAGATTTTCTATAAAACACCTTTGTGCATTGTTATAAACAACCTTAGCGATAAGACTGTCAGAGTTCTATGTTAAGGTATGAGGTTTATGATCACCTTAGCGCTAAAATCACTTTGTCCAATGATACCCAGCTATGATAATCAATCTAATGAACACAAACCTTCCTCAAGAAACGACTGTCGGTGCCACCAGGGAAAATCTCAGTCTTCACCTCCGCTGATCTGGAAAATACACAAGTAAATACCATCTGTTAAACAGTGAAGAACCTCTTTGATGTCAGAATAACCAGAAGTGACATCATGACATCCCCAGTGACGTCATCTAGTGCACAATGCAGAAAGCTTTGTGGTGTAAGACTATCTGGCTACTACAAGCATAGGAGTACATGGTTTTCTCAGCATAATAATAATAATTGATTTATAGAGCGCCTATTTCCAAAATATATTGCTCAATGGCGTTATAAAGAGAAAAGATTGTAGACAATGTCTATGGAAAAGAGAGTTTGAACAGATGAGTTTTGAGGGCAGTTTTGAAAGCGTCAGCAGATTCTATTTCTTTTAGGGCGAGTGGTAGAATGTTCCAGAGATAGGGGGCTGCAGCAGAGAACGCTCTTGATCCCATGGCTGTTTTGACGTGAGGCTGTGTAAGCAGTAAGGAGTTTGCTGAGCGGAGCAATCGGCTTGGAACATGGAGATGAATGATGCTTTTAAGATATTGAGAAAACATGTTTTCATAGATGCAGCTGTGTGTAAGAAGAAGAAGAAGAAGTTTGTATTGAATTCTGCTTGATACAGGAAGCCAGTGAAGAGTTTGGAGGATAGGTGTCACAGTTTGGTAGCGTGGTGCACGGGCAACAACACATATTGCGTACTGGAATCACAAAAGTCCTGTTACTGCTTGATGAAGCACTGGCTTATTTTGTTCTGTGTCCATTGCCTCAGACTGTTGAAACGTGGATAAAGTTCATCCTCCTGCCAGACGTCCTATCTTCCCCGACCTGTGAATATCCGGGTTAGAATTGGTCTTCAGCAACCCATGCTTGTTGTAAGAGTCTACTTACGGGATTGGGTGGTCAGCCTCTCTGTCTTGGTTAACACATGTCATTGCGTAGGTCGATGCTCAGGCTGTTGATCACTGGATTGTCTGGTCCAGACTGGATTACTTACTGAATGCTGCATTATAGCTGGAATATTGCCGACAGCAGCATTAAACAACAAACCAGCAAACCAACCAACCAACCCAAACCTCCTCTGAGATTCTAGCAACATTAGTCGAGAGTTTGTACTAACACAACAGGTCAAGGAGAATAGTATTATTTCGTGTAACTATAAGCAGTAACACCTGTGTACTCTCTACTTCATCAGGGGCCGTGGGGTAGTCTAGTGGTTAAAGCGTTGACTTGTCACGCTGAAGACCCGGGTTCGATTCCCCACATGGGTACAACGTGTGAGGCCCATTTCTGGTGTCCCCCGCCGTGATGTTGCTGGAATATTGCTAAAAGTGGCATAAAACCAAACTCAGTCAGTCAGGCTACCTCATCACTCCTTATTCTCCACCTTCACATGTCCTCCTACACTTCTCAAGGTAATGTGAAGGTATGGACGTCAGGAACCCTAATAACGATTGTGAGTGTCATGAACTGACAGTGCAGAGACGGTCAAGCATTTCTAACAGTAACTTCCAACATATAATATAAGTTGAGAGGTTGTATTTACTCCACTTTTAGCAAGATTCCAGCAATATCAGATACCAGCTTCACACATTGTACCCATGTGGGGAATCGAACCCAGGTCTTTGGCGTGACTAGCAAAAGCTGAAACCACAAGGCTACCCCACAGCCGGTTCCATTGTAACTCACAGAGACTTGCAGGCTGACATGAAGGCCGTCCACCAGGGGTTGCTGGAATCGATAGGGACTTTGTGTGGAGAGTCACTTTTCTGAAAACAAATGTCAGCAATTGAAAAGCAACCCTTTCAAAACTCACAAATATTTCCCAGGTTGCTTTTCATATATCATTTATCTCCCATGAATACATATGACAACTTAGCTGGGTAATGTGGAAGTGTCTTTTTGTGTCAGATAATGAAATGAAGTTGTGGATAAATTATAAGTCATTGCATGAATGAAATTTGTGTGATGCCTGACGGTGAGGCAATATGTGTGATTGATGGATGCAAGCTTGTAGCACATTGCAAAAGTAATCGTAGCACTCGAGTGATGTAATTTGATCTGTCATTTGTCTTGTATCTGTCTCTGAACTGAGCATGGCTAAATTAGCTGGTAATACGAGGCTGGTAACACCCTTTAGGTATTCACAGCATTCAGAGGTCTATGGGAGGGTATCTGAGATTCATCAGTCTCTTCATGGGATGCAGATAGATATTAAAAATATCTGTTGATGAATAGTTGATGGTAACACTGTTACCGAAAACTCAATGGCAGTGGACATATTCTTTACAGGGGGTGGAAATAACCCATTGCCCGACGTCCGAGTCCAGTGTTTTTATCTGTCGGGCAAGCAAATTTGTATATCACGCTGTACCGGTGTCCAGTTGACTTTCCAATGTTAATAATGTTATTTATTTCAAAAATCAACAAGAAAACGGCCGGTATAGTGAAAACATTATCAGGGCAAGTGATTTTACATTAGCCACTGTACCGGAGTACACTAGCAATTTGAAAGTTATTTCCATCCCTGCTTTATGATGTGGATGTCGATTTTGTTCTTTATGATGTGGATGTCGATTTTGTTACGAGATTTTGATTGGACAATGAATGGACCTGTAAGTCCAGCCAAAATATAACTCCATAATTCCATCCCCGTTTGGCAAGGGGGGAAACTTGGCATTTATAGTCAGTTATCTCCCTTGATTCAGGAAGTTGCCACACTGAAACACACCTAGATACATTCGCAGGTGATGGAGGAATGTCTTGTATTCAGCAGACAATGTACATGAACATATTTGGTCAATCAGTTTTTCCTGTGTATTTATGACAAGTTGCATGTGAGTACAATGTCTATTGTTGGAAACATCCATGGTAGAAACAGCCTGTTTGACATACAGTCCCGACATTCACTCCTGAGACACTGTTTATTTACACATCACCATTATGAATTCTGTCCCTGTAAGGACTAGGAGCTCCTGATTGTACACACTGAATTGTAGGCTCCTCTACAGGGTGTCCACACACTAACCTGGTCAAACTCCAGAGTTACGTCATCTCCCGCCTCCCGACACCATCGCCACAACTCCTTCTCAAACTCTGTCAGATCCACGTGAGGAGGTGTACGAATGTCAAAACCTGAAACAAAACTAGTACATGAAATATGATTTTATATGCATAAGTTTAGACATGTCAAATATTGCATTAACCATTACCCCTTGTGATGTCTCCTATTGATTTATTGTTAAATACATGTGTCTAGTTTCATACGGTCCATTTGTAGATATAGATAGGCGTTTCATGTAATAAGTTACTGTTACTTAATCAAGTCAGTTAAACATCTTCCAACTTTTCCATCAAACATTCAAGATGGTGACTTACATGCAAACAGCTCTGCAGGCACTACGTTGTACTGTACACCTCCCTGGACATAGAACAACACACATGCATCAATGTATCATTGCCGGTCTTCCTATAAATCCTCCTTTCTTGACACCATCCTTATGGGCAACCTACCGAGTAGATACTGTTTTCACAAAATACCATTCTGGTCGATTCTGGTTTCTGCCATTCTACAGGGATGTCAATATACAATTCTGGTTGGTGCTGTTCTACCAAGACACCTAGATACCATTCTGGTTGGTGCGGTTAGGCCAAGACACCTAGATACCATTACCATTCTGGTTGGTGCTGTTCTACCAAGACACCTAGATACCATTCTGGTTGGTGCGGTTAGGCCAAGACACCTAGATACCATTCTGGTTGGTGCTGTTCTACCAAGACACCTAGATACCATTCCGGTTGGTGCTGTTCTACCAAGACACCTAGATACCATTCTGGTTGGTGTAGTTCTACCAAGACACCTAGATACCATTCTGGTTTATGCTGTTCTGCCAAGACACCTAGATACCATTCTGGTTGGTGCTGTTTTACCAAGGCACCTAGATACCATTCTGGTAGACATCTTGTATTTCACCTTGACACCCAGTGAGTGAGTGAGTTGAGTTTTACGCCGCACTCAGCAATATTTCAGCTATATGGCGCGGTCTGTACCAGTGTTCAAAATAGCCACTGGGTAGTGGGCCAGTGGCTAGTAAAAATCCAGTTGGGACCGTAAATCTTCACAGTCACTGGCCTGACTGGCTAGTGACTTTTCAGGGGGTCATTTTGTAAATATATCACTATCTCCAACTTGTTAAGCTATGATACACTTTTAAATCATGCAATATTATGGCCTAATAAAATGTTCATCATATCAGCAGCTTTATGATGAAACCCGTTTCTACATTCAAATTTCGGGCTTGTGAATTATTTTATGGGCTAGTAACTTTCTGGCATAGTGAGCCCGAATGGCTAGAAACATTTGGAAACCATTTTGAACACTGGTCTGGACCAGACAATCCAGTGATCAACAGCATGAGTATCGATCTGCACAATTGGGAACCGATGACATGTGTCAACCAAGCCAGCGAGCCTGACCACACGATCCTGTTAGTCGCCTCATACGACAAGCATGAGTTTCAGAAGGTACATTCTAACCCGGACCTTCATGGGTGACACCCAGATACCATTCAGGTGATATACTACAGACAAGACTTTACCGACTGGGTACCACATGGAATACATCTATATAGGGTACCAAGTCTACTGACCTTAATGATGGTGAGATTCAGAGTGGTCACATCCCCGATGGTCAAACTTGGGTCCGAGTTCAACCTTAAATAATTGTGATTACACAATGCCATTTAGAAAGTGGTCAGATGTAACATGTGTTATATTTGGGATTACACTTTCTTAGTAAAGTACAGATTCTAGTACTTTTTGGGTTGAGTCCCATCTGGGATTCGAACCCACACCCTCAGAGTCAGGCACCTGATCGCCAGCACACAAAGTCAGCCGTCTAACCTGCTCAGCCACCGCAACTTCCGATGGTTAGTGATCCACTGATCTGTGTGTGTTGTTTAACACTACACTAGGCAAAATTCCAGCTATATGGCAGCAGTCTATAAATAATTCAGTTTGGACCAGACAATCCAGTGCTCAACAGCATGAGCATCCAGCTAAGCAACTGGGATACGATTACATGTGTCAACCAACTCAGTGACCCTGACCATCCGATCCCGTTAGTCGCCTCTTACGACAAGCATGGGTTGCCGGAGACCAATTCTAACATGGATCTTCATGGATACACTGGTCTGTGACAAGCTGAAGTACCGAAGGAGTCCGAAAGTCTATAGTTACCTCCTCGCACATCTTTTTATTGATCCTAGACCAGGAAAGTTGTGAAGGATAATACAAACCCACAATATATCAATAGTTAGGTGAGGTGAGGTGAAATTGGGTTTAACGTCGTGCTTGAGAATATTTCGCTCATATGACGATGGACATGTGCGGCTGCTTGTACTAGCCCAGACTTAAGCTGGTTTTATAGTGCTAGCCCACTGAGATACCATGCCACAGTGAAGCATGAATACCCCACTCAGACACATTATACTGACTCCGAGCCGACCAGTCCTTGTTGTACCCATTAATGCCGAGCGCAAGGCAGGGACCAACAAGTACCATATTTTAACGTATTTTGGTATGACGCGGTCGGCGATCGAACCCGCGACCTTCCGCTCTTTGGGCGGATGCTCTAACCACTACACCACGGAGGCGGTCATCAATAGTTAGAGTTCAAACTGTACTTAAATTCAGGGAGAAGTTTTTGTCTTTCAAGACAATCTGTCCAAGGCATCTGGGTACATTCAATGTCATCAGATGTTACTAAAACGAAGCATTGGTGTTTGGTAGGCTATGTTTATGGTGTATTTAAAGAAACAGAAACTTGGGAATACATTTTGTGATAGTCTTCATCTACTGGTACTTGGGGACAATGCAACTGTATGTGTAAAGTGTTTGTAACTCTACTATTCAAATTAATGTTGCCTAATTCTGATTTCAGAACTATTTTCAGCCCAAGTACGGAAAAACATAACATGATTGTACAGATCATAGCGTGACACAGACCTTTGTTCTTGTTTGTTCCGGAAGTCCATTGCTATGTTAAGTATCCTCGTCTGAAAATAGTGAGTGTGTGACAGAATAAGTGGGTGAAAGGAAGTGAGTCAGTGAGTGAGTGAGTGGGTGAGAGCAGGTGAGCGTCACATTCATAACTCTTGCAACATTGTGTGTTTTCCATCAGGAAGTTAAACCCTCTCATCAGTTTACTGTAGACACATTTGCCTTACGGTTTCAGGGTAGATGTGGTGGATGTAAGTGACTGCCAAACCTGAGATGGACATTCGACAATGTGCTATAAAATTAGCTCCCTTGATCTTCGAGTTAAAGTGAGTGAGATAAAATTTAAAGTCACATCGGCATTATTTCAGCCATATTGTGACTCTTCGAGTAAATTCAAAATAGTACCAGTACTTTGTAAATTTTAGGCCATACTTAAAAAATATAATAAAAATAACTTTTGAAAAAAGCATACAGCAGACTATTAAAAATGTCAGGCAGAATCACAAATTAACACAAAATCTGCCAGGGGTTAAAATGGGTCAGTGTTTAAAATTCGCAACAAAATTAGAACAGTTTTTTTCACGTCACTTGCCTGTTAGGCAAGCTGAAAACTGAGGACAGAGAAAAACTCACAAGTTTCTCGGCAGCTGAATCTTGTATAAAAGATGAGCCATGACCAGGATTTCCTGCACATCTGAACTTGACCCCTGGAACACAATACCTGACCTTCACAATCTGGACCAGAATCCTCTTGTTACAGAATGAATTATGATGTTCTGATCACATGTTTCCCTATATATCCCAGTCATTACAGATTTCATGTACACTTTTTTCACTGAATTATTTCACATGGACATTAGTTAATTGAGTCTCCTTATACTCCTAATATGCCAGGTGTGTTAAAATTTTCACTTTAAATATGTTACATCCAAAAATGAACAATATACCATTTTACCTGATCATTAAAACTTAAAGGGTGTTTGTAGGAATATGAGATGAATGTGATTTGACCCCGTAATTCTTTGATGGTGCACCCTGAATGGTATAGATGTATTTTCCCCATAGAGGAATACCAGGGTTAATAGTTGGAATAAACCCCTGTGTGGTGAGGATGATGTCCTACTTACACCAGCATGATCGTTCTGCATAGAAGACCTTAAACTCTGGTCCAGGGTTGGCAATACCTGCAACAATGAAACTACAAGATCTGGATCATCACAACACAAACCATGATTGTCTTCATAAACTTGAGAGGCTAAAAAATCACCATAAATTTGCCTGTCAAATCCTATGCATTCAGTGCTAACATTCTTTCATTGTGAATATTTCCAAAACTAAAATATGACCGAAAATGGACCTAGTGTTTTCTGTACATATACCTGTATGTTTCTCGACAAACTGTACAGGTTACAGGTTACACTTTCGTCAAACATTTTTCCAGGGGCACAAGAAAACGACATCATGTCGCTTCGCATGAACAAATAAGACAAGACGACTTTGTTAGGATAGACGTCAAATTTGCAATTAGACGACACAAGACAAAAATATTTACCCTTTCAGTTCTAATTTGTTTTTGCTAGGTCTTGTACTATATGCAGGGATTAATATTACTGTGTGTATTTGTCTCGTATACAGAGCCGGAATTAGCAATCAGCTGTCAACTAACTTCATTTGTAAATATGTAAGGTTTTACATGACAACCAAGGCTGGAGCAGTGTCCAACTTATTATAATATCATATACGGGTAAGTATTATATCAAATAATCTGAAATAACCACAACAATCCAACCTCGTCAGTTTAACATGGTGTCACTGTTAACACAGAGATGGAAGGCTACACCCCCAATGAAATGTTTCTGAACTTGAAATTTCAAAGATAACATTTCATAATCAGCTTTCTTGGTCCTACCTTCATCAAGGCAAAATCCCAGGTTAAGTTTTTTAGATTCAGGGAGCTTCATAAATACTTTCATGCCAAGTTCCCCACCAGTTTCTTCATCTGAAATAGATCCAGTAATGTCACATGGTTTTACTATTGGAGAGTGAGTTTGGTTTAATCCTGTAATAGTATTACACTTACACAGTAGGGGTGACTATTGAGGGGGAAACAACTATTGCGATAGCGATAGTCTATTGCGATCCACTATTGCAATAGTTTTTTTCTCCTTGAATTGTATCATTTGAAGTCATTTCCCAAATGAAGGTATAGTTAATATTAAATAAAAACAAGTTGAAGTAGTTTCCGTCTCTTTTAATGAGTGACAAGAAACTTGAAACCCAGATGAAATAAACAGTTAAAACATAAACTCAATGAAGCTGCAAGTCAACTAAACACCCTGTATTTTGCGCTGCGCATTTATCAATGGAAGTCAATTACTAAACTATTGCTAGTCACACATACATGCATCGATAGTTTTTTGTTTCTACCATCGATTAATTGCTAGCAGAGACTCAACAATTGCAATGTGATATAGAAACTTCTTGCAAAGTGGCAGTGTCCTGACTATTTTGATACCAAAGTAAGAAATTAGATTTATATTCTCAGCTGTAATGAAATTCTAACCAAATGAATTTGAACTGAGACAGATATACATATACTGAAAATATTCACCTGGGCCGAAAATCACATGAATGGTACGTAAGAGTCTCTTTCCCTCCTTTTTCAATCTTCTAATCGCCTCAACGTATCTGGAAAATAACCCAACACTAATCTCAGCTTGGAGCCCTACACACTATTGCCAATTCCAATAACTGAGTTGTCCGCCCTTGGATGTGCACCTTGGAAATCACCATCATAATCCCAGTATGTTCACAGTGAGCCTATGCTATTCACCAGTTGAATGGGTTCAACAGTAGCACTGCGGGCACTTAACTTATTTTTGGCAACTCAGCTCACAGACAAGTGGCATGAAACCTGTTTCCTGTACAGTGAATGACTGAGTGAGTGAGTTTGATTTTATGCTGCTTTCAGCAATATTCCAGCAATATCACGGCAGGACACCATAATTGGGGTTTCACACAGTGTACCCATGTGGGGAATCGAACCCAGGTCTTCGGTGTGACGAGTGAACGCTTTTAACCACCAGGCTACCCCACAGCCCCGCTTCCTGTACAGATTGAAAAGATTTATGTCAAGGGCAGGTAACTCACCCAAACAAAACTTGTGTTTCCAGAACATGTTGAAAATGTTATCATTTGTTAAAAATAATAGAGCAAGTTAAGTAAAAATACAACAATAATAACACTGATGTAGAATTTGAGTATTTAGTACAAAAATAATATTTTTGCCATTAATGAAATTTGAGATGATCAAACTACTTACTGTATACCAACACACTTCATATCCTGAAAAATATAAAAATATGAAATAATGATGGTTCACCCTACAAACAGAGATTTGAGATTTTATTAGTGCAATCAAAGTATTACCATCTTCCAAAGTGTAAATTTCACCAGGAATTCACTTGACCCATACTTGATTTAAGGACCTTAATTTAACTTGCACCAGGTGCAACCAGACACAAGGTTACACCAGACAAAACCAGGTTGCACCATGTACCATATCTTTATCAATATTGAAACATGAGTGGCTTTGCTGCCAATGTTGTATTACTGTAATAACAACATTTGCTCATAATCTTGAAGTACCCAAACTTTGATGACATCAAGGCCAAGAAAGCAACACAAAGAACACATATTATAACAGAGAGATAAGGGATGTTGTATGTAAATAAGAGAAGTGTTCATTGTGCCGACAAGTAAGGGTTAGTCAGACACAAACTTGGAATGTCTTGTCATTCCCTAGTGCATGTAGATATAAATTTCAGGTTCCGTTCTTCAATAGCAGGTCACACTGGCGCATGTTTTTATAGTTAAATCGAGCCCTGCCAAGTGCATGGAGATGCAAATTTGGTTCCATTCTTCACTACCAGGTCGCACTGGTGCATGTTTTTATAGCTAAATTAAGCCCTGAGGATAAATAATTCATAACTGTGACCGTGCAATATTCAACATAGCAATCTCATCTAAATATCTATTATAAACACCATGCTCTATTCCAACAGCTTGCCAAGCTGTCACACATGTTACCACATTGTGTACTTCCCCTCTCTGTCTCCTCGTTTTGTTTTACATCAGGTCGGTTGTTACTGTATAAATACGAAACACAATCAAAGTGATAAATACTAGTATATTGAATTAATTACACCTGATGCCATATTGACTATCCATGGCAAGTAAGATATCAGGCCTTTAATAGCAGTTTAGATGATAGTCATGATACATTGTATTTTCCACATAGATTTACACGTAATTAACAGTTATGCTCAGTAGAGAGATTCTACAATGTTCATTGTACATTTATAGTTTCATGCAAAGTTTTGGAAAAACATTAAACAGTTTTCAGTTTATGGCAGGGATGGGATGGGAACAGGTCAAAAACCGAATTCATCTCTTTTACCAAGGGCAGAGAGGATGGGGTACAGATACATAATTCCAGACTTCTGGAAGCAGCTATCAACAACTACACAACCCATTTCATAATCATAGTACGAATAAAAACTCTCTTCCAAACTTCATATTATTGGTATATATTTTATTGTTACCACAGGAATATATCTAGACTTGTTCATAGGCTGACGCCTGGCCTTAAGTCTGCGGCAAGTGGTAGTACAAATTCTAAAATAGGAATTAAATCATTCCCCCTTTCTGCTGCTGCGGTGCTCACTAACGTGACTCCTCTGTAGTAGTGACTTGTACTTCAGTGACAGACAGCCCCACATTGAGGAATAGGCTCTTATGACATTATTGTTTTGAATGCAATTTTACTATGAAATTTTCAGTAATTTAGGACAAAATGACTTTAAAGAGATCCTAATTTTGAACAAGATGTTTGTTTAAATTATCATTATTGCACTGAATGAAATTTTACTATTAAATTTGCAATAATTTATGAAAAAATATTTTTTAAAGAGATCCTAAGGTAAGCGTTTACCAAATTTAAAACAAGGGCACTTAGTTTGGAATTCATGATAAACCGATGTATTGTTTACAAGCATCAAACCCGTGAAGGCCCGTGTTACGATACGGATCTTCAGTAACCCATGCTTGTCATAGGAGGCGACTAACGGGATCGGGTGGTCAGTCTCACTGACTTGGTTGGCACATGTCATCGGTTCCCAACTGTGCATATTGATGCTCATGCTGTTGGTCACTGGATTGTCTGGTCCAGAATCGATTATTTACAGACCAACGCCATATAGTTGGAATATTGCTGAGTGCGGCGTAAAACTAAACTGACTGACTGACTCACTCACAAGCATCAACTCAAGTTGACTTGACTAAGGTGTAATAAATGTATTATAATCCTTTTTGAAAACAGCAGTAAATCCTCTTCCTTTTAATAGTCTGAGTGTTTATGGTACATAGACTTATTTGTTCTATCCTTTGTTACAATTAAATAAGAAGTAGCAGGCACCTGGCTTCCTCTGGCATAAATATCCCCATTCTCCATCTTCTCTGCACTGAACGGGGGTACCTTCCAGTGTTCCTGAAATATCAAACACTGTCAGTTCATAGGAGTGAGTGAGTGTGTGAGCATAGAATTATCAGCAATATTCCAGTAATATCACAGTGGGGGACACCAGAAATGGGCTTCACACATGGCACCCATGTGGGGAAACGAACCTGTGACAAGCGGATGCTTTAACCACTTGGTTACCAGACCACCCCCAGTTCATATGAGCTGCAATGGGGAAACATCAAAACTGAAAAGCCCCCTACAGATGACATTCTGGTAAAAACCAATTTTGATTTCTCAGTCAGACTTTTCAAATCACAAATAAGCACTTCTGAATAAAACATGACAATTGGTAAAAAACAATTTTGATTTCTCAATCGGACATTTCAAATAACAATAAACACCTCTGATGATAATGGCTGACTTTTTAGAAAAACAGCAATTCTGACTTCTCAATCAGATATTTCAAATCACAATAAGCACCATATATTAAAATGGTTAATCTGAATCATTTCAAATTCTATTTAGACTTGTCACCTGTACAATGAACCCAGCTCTAAATTGAAAATACAGTATGTTTATCTCCTAATCAAAAAAGTTTAAACTCCTCTGAGAAATAAAAATATATCTGTTCCCAACAGGGACACAAGTACAGACAGATGTATAATCAGGACAATACAATATCTGCTTCATGCTGTTTGTGTTGTACCCATGGACAGGGGTGACTGAACTAGTATAAAACCTGTCTAGTTGATCACATCATGTTGTAATATTCTTCTACAAAATGGCGTAGATGACGAAGGCATCTGACAAGAACAAGTAAACAAAACAGCACAAGGTGTAGCTTGGGATTACCTAACCTAACTACAGAAACCTCATGGAGTAACCTCCCTTGGTTTAATAACTATAGTAGATACACATGATAGAATTGCCTCCCTTGGTTCAATGAACATTAATACAATCATCACAGAGTTTCAATCATATGGTTGTATAATAATTCCAATCTCTTACTCTAGGGCTTGTCACAATATCTAGATGTGCATCATACTGCTATGAGCTATTGTCTACCAATACATGTGCTAGCCAATGATGTAACAGTAATGTAACAATAATATCAAATTACGAACTATGATAACTATTTAGGAACAAATTTATACACAATTGCCTGATACCTAAATTCCAAGTTAAAATAGTTTCACTGACAATAAGCTATCACTACACAATTCTTGGTATTAATTTATACTGACTGAGTTTAGGTTTACGCCGCTTTTAGCAATATTCCAGCAATATCACGGCTGGGGACACCAGAAATGGGCTTAACACATTGTGCCCATGTGGGAAATCGAACCCGGGCCTTCGGCGTGACGAGCCAACGCTTTAACCACTAGGCTACCCCACCGCCCTATTAATTTATAATTACTGTACTAGAGTATTCTGTGTAAGAACAATTCTTCAGTAGGCATTAAGTAATTACAAGGTCTTACCGTGTTTATTGTACACATATTGACACATCTGACATTCTAACGTTGAGCATAATCAGTTCCGGTCATATGCATGTAACCTTTGACCCTGACCAATCTACTTCCGGTTAATGAAAATGCCTTGTCATATCTACTACAAGGCTTAATTCCTAATTCTAAACCTAACATTTCTTAAAACAACATCAGGAAGTGATTACTTCCATTACATGTATCACAATGAACTTTAACTGATAAACACAGCTTAGACAGCGGAACATCGATCGATGTTACTAAGGATAGATTTTAGAAAGTTTGCGCCAACTGTTGATTTGAAACATGTACATTTATGGCATTCCTAGTGTTTATACAAATTAAATATTCATGTAAATATGATCTAGGGGGGCTTCAAGGGAAATATGTCTGGTGTTTCAATTGATTACACACCTGAAATAGTATAAAACTTGTTTAGTTGATCACATCATGTTTTAATATTCTTCTACAAAATGGCGTAGATGACGAAGGCATCTGATGTCATTCTGTGACGTCATATATTGTGATGCTAGCTAAGACAACTAGTTATGACTATAAGAGATATGTAACCCAAGCGTCTGTTGGCTTTTAACTAGATTGATAAATTACCTTTTTTTTTATGAGGTACCTGATTTAACATAATTTTAGCTTAAACTTACCAAAAATATATATGTTAATTCTAAAGGGCTAACATTTGCCAATTTATAGCCTGCCTTTGTTACATATAGAAGTATAAACCAGTCATAACAGTAAGCAAACCTACTAATTCCATGCATTTTGTATTACAGGGTTTATGGGACGCGAATTTCTGCGTCCTATACACATAAAAATTGACAACGGACGCAACAAAATTTATTAGCGCATTCACTGGGAGCAGAAAAAGTCCAAATACTTTTTGTAAAAATTTCAATCAAGTAACAATAAGTTATCCTGGTGTCTGCTACAGCCTGGGTTATGTTATCTTTTGCAATTTAATTACTGTAACAATGTCATGATCATGATACAAAATACCATACTGAAACTGAATTACAACAATATCACAACATGGTATTAATGATAATATTTGAGTGTCTGGGACCCCCATTTCATAGTCCAGGACCCCTGAAAATTAAGAATATGAGTCCCAGGGAATCTCATGTACAGGACTCGAGGTAAATCCCTGACATTAGTGAGAAGTGAAAACAATTACATAATATTTGCAGACAAATATAATGTATTTTACAGGCTGTATGGAGTGTTTTAAGTAGTTAATTGCAAATTTCATTTGGAACTTGAACCAGATGTTGCTATATCCATACCTCAAATCAATTTAAACGTAATTGTGAAAACGTGACGCAAATTAACAAAACCTACAAAAGTTTTTATTTTCCACCATCCTATATCATCCTGTTAGGAGTGTAACAGATATAGAACTATGGCTGCAACTATCCTCACAGTTGTTTCCAGATGATTGTCCTGTATAAATACAAATTAAGGAATGCCAATAGCATTGTTGACAGCATAATAATCCATGGTTTTATTAGTTGCAATAAGTTTATACATTGGCAATAGAAAATATCCAAAATTCAAAAACTGTGAGTGTTGGTTACAAGAATTTGACAACTTCATGTCAGGATAACTTCCTATTGGTGTGAGCAACAGCTGGGATGAACATAGCCACATTCTGCAAGCCCTGAAGTCGGTTTACAATTTGGCAATACTTACTATCTCAGTACTATTTCAACAGTGTTGGATACTATCGCAACAGAGTTTGATACTATCGCAATAGAGTTGGATACTATCGCAATAGAGTTGGATACTATCGCAACAGAGTTGGATACTATCGCAATAGAGTTGGATACTATCGCAACAGAGTTGGATACAATAGAGTTGGATACTAACGCAATAGAGTTGGATACTATCGCAATAGAGTTGGATACTATCGCAATAGGGATACTATCGCAATAGAGTTGGATACTATAGCAATAGAGTTGGATACTATCGCAATAGAGTTGGATACTATCGCAATAGAGTTGGATACTATAGCAATAGAGTTGGATACTATAGCAATAGAGTTGGATACTATAGCAATAGAGTTGGATACTATAGCAATAGAGTTGGATACTATAGCAATAGAGTTGGATACTATCGCAATAGAGTTGGATACTATAGCAATAGAGTTGGATATGGATAATATAGCAATAGAGTTGGATACTATCGCTAATAGAGTTGGATACTATCGCTAATAGAGTTGGATACTATAGCAATAGAGTTGGATACTATAGCAATAGAGTTGGATACTATCGCAATAGAGTTGGGATAGAGTTGGATACTAATAGAGTTGGATACTATCGCTAATAGAGTTGATAGCTAATAGAGTTGGATACTATAGCAGAGTTGGATACTATAGCAATAGAGTTGGATACTATCATAATAGAGTTGGATACTATAATAGAGTTGGATACTATCGCAATAGAGTTGGATACTAACTAATAGAGTTGGATACTATCGATACTATAGCAATAGAGTTGGATACTAATAGAGTTGGATACTAATAGAGTTGGATACTATAGCAATAGAGTTGGATACGCAATAGAGTTGGATATACGCAATAGAGTTGGATACTATAGCAAGGAGTTATACGCATAATAGAGTTGGATACTATCTAATAGAGTTGGATACTATCTAATAGAGTTGGATACTATCGCAATAGAGTTGGATACTATCGCTAATAGAGTTGGATAATACTACGTTTAATAGAGTTGGATACTATCATAATAGGGAGTTGGATACTGGATACTATCGCAATAGAGTTGGATACAATAGAGTTGGATACTATCGCAATAGAGTTGGATACTAACGCAATAGAGTTGGATACTAACCAATAGAGTTGGATACTAACGCAATAGAGTTGGATACTATCGTAATAGAGTTGGATACTATCGCAATAGAGTTGGATACTATAGCAATATAGTTGGATACTATCGCAATAGAGTTGAACAGTTAAGGTGGTGTGGTAGTTTAGCGGTTAAAGCGTTTGCTTGTCATGCAAAAGATCTGGATTTGATTCCCTACATGGGTACAATGTGTGAATCCCATTTCTGGTGTTTCTCTGCCATGATATTGCTGGAATATTGCCAAAATAAGCCTAAAATCCAACTCACTAAAACAGCTCAACAACCTGTATGATTTCATTTTTGATTGTAATGGCATCCTTCAACAATGGATGCTGTCATTTACTTCTTAAGTATTTTAAATGTTGTACATTTTAATGTTTATACTTACTGGAAAAACAGGCACCACATCTATGTGAGAGTAGAGACCAAGTGATGGGAGGGATGGGTTTGTTCCAACCCATGACATCACTGCAAAAATATTCTTTGGGGCAGTCTGAAATACAGCAAGAAACAAAAGCAATAAAAAGATATGACACACATGGTCTCACTTAAGGCAAGTGAGTTGCTAAATTTTTTCAATAATTACTCTGTTCACTAGTGGTGGTCCAATTAATTTGAAATAATTGATGATTGGTCATAGTGACTAAACGACCAAGCAATTGATCATGTTTTCTCATAATCGAACACAAACGATTTAGGAACATTTCTTTACATAAACAATATTTAACACAAGGTTAGTTTTGTCTGTCATTAAATTTACATTTCATAAGCACTACAGGCTCGATCCATGTCATGATTGAATTTATTTTAAAGGCTCCAGGAAATTTATGTCCCTAACATACTAGTCATCATTTAGAAATGCATTTTATGCAATTTGCAAAAAACCCAAAGAACTACATATTTTGTCTATTTCTCTGTGCTTTATCAAATTTTCCTGGTTAAATTTGTTAAATGACGCTTAAGCACTTATTTTCGATGACTGATGGTTGTAATGAACCAATTATGAGATTTTAACCAATTCCCAACACTACTGTTCACCCAGCAGTGAATGGGTACCCAGTGGGACAAGTCCTATGACTGTTAACCTTCTAGAGCCTCACAGGCAGCTTGATTTTAACTGGGGTAATAATGTCTTTGTACTTTGAGCATCCACATACATACAGGCACTGTACAAAAGTCCATTATCACAATTATTACAACACAATTTTACCAACATACAGATGTATGCTAAAGGTACAGTTAAGAGATAGATGAATTGACACACCCACCTCAGTAGCTGTGAACTCCAGTCCAACATCATCAGCAAGTCTGGAGATGAAGTCTATGGCTTTACCTGCACAAAATAAAATCAGAGCTATGAAATATCCTTTATAATACTTTTTGCCCCAAGCTTACAGTCTATCAATCAAAATGACTCAAAGTAAGAACAATCTTCACATACCCATTCAGTATGAGGCAAACTTGTACTTGGTATGCCTGTACATTGTTATCTCATTTCATAAACCTATAGTGATGTCATCACATTGTCCCTGAGGGTTGTCCAAGTTTGCCAAGTCCTCAACCTCAGTTTCTATTATCCAAGCCCATTTATGACATTTGTATCACTGGTTTTATTGGATAAGGTGGATTGACCACAGGAATCATAACAACATATTATCATGTATTATGTTATCACAACGAAATCTGTATCATTTAGCATATTATCACAGGTGACAAAGTAATATAGTTAATGTTTATTTTTATTCACTGTTCCCAAAACACCAAGTAAGTGGGATAGCAAAGATGAGAATTGGGTCCACGGCCCCATGATCTGCGATGAGGGAGTCTTCTCCTGCACCTGTAGCTTTCCACTTCCATCCAGCTGGATAGCCTGTCTTGTCTTGGGTAGATTGGGACGAGTCTCTTGCCTCTCTATACATAGCTGTCTTGACGGAAGGAAGGACTGGAATGTGCCTGAATCCATCCAAAGGGAAGACGCCAGGAATCTTTCTTAATGCAGTAACTTTATCGCCATAAAATGGTTGGGATGGGGTGGTCTCAGTTCTTGCCTGGTCCGGGAGTGTTCTCTTGAAGTCGCCCATGTTGAAGATGTAGGGTGGTGCTTCATGGTTGTGTCCAGATCCAATCTTCAGTAGGCTGCGATCATCTTGTGTGTGAATAGATCCTTTACAGTGTGGCACTGTACATGTCCATTAGCAGATGTCATCTACCTGTCGGTTGGCTATAAACTTATGTCCTGCATAGTATGCAAATCTGCCATCACGAGCATTGGGAAGGTATCTGACATTAATTTGTGAAAAATATACACTTCTTGTAAATATTCCTCCAGTAATAATAGGTCTAATCTATAGCAAGTTTCTTCCTTCCCATGTTAGTTGGAGAAGGAAACTGAATAATATAATACATTTCATGTAAATACTCTTCCAGTAATAATAGGCCTAATCTATAGCAAGTTTCTTCCTTCTCATATTAGTTGGAGAAGGAAACTGAATAATATACACTTCTTGTAAATACTCCTCCAGTAATAATAGGGTCTAATCTTATTAAGATTAACAGTAAGTGCTTTCATCTATCCAACCTTAATGTTTTCACAGTAGACAAGTCTCATTACTAAACTAACCCCCTAACAGAGTGATCCCCCGTCCACTGATCAGTGGCTCTCCCACTCTTGTTCCACTTCCAATTACTCCCATTAATTATGCCATGTGGGCAAACTGTAATTAGGCCTTGTGGGATTTATTAGGTTGAATTTTAGGCCCTCAAGGACTGTAAGTTTTTTCTAACATAACCAAACAATGTTACAATATTGCCAAAAATAAGCCTAAAATCCAACTCACTAAAACAGCTCAACAACCTGTATGATTTCATTTTTGATTGTAATGGCATCCTTCAACAATGGATGCTGTCATTTACTTCTTAAGTATTTTAAATGTTGTACATTTTAATGTTTATACTTACTGGAAAAACAGGCACCACATCTATGTGAGAGTAGAGACCAAGTGATGGGAGGGATGGGTTTGTTCCAACCCATGACATCACTGCAAAAATATTCTTTGGGGCAGTCTGAAATACAGCAAGAAACAAACGCATTAAAAAGATATGACACACATGGTCTCACTTAAGGCAAGTGAGTTGCTAAAAATTTACAAATAATTACTCTGTTCACTAGTGGTGGTCCAATTAATTGAAATAATTGATGATTGGTCATAGTGACTAAACGACCAAGCAATTGATCATGTTTTCTCATAATCGAACACAAACGATTTAGGAACATTTCTTTACATAAACAATATTTAATACAAGGTTAGTTTTGTCTGTCATTAAATTTACATTTCATAAGCACTACAGGCTTGATCCATGTCATGATTGAATTTATTTTAAAGGCTCCAGGAAATTTATGTCCCTAACATACTAGTCATCATTTAGAAATGCATTTTATGCAATTTGCAAAAAAACCCAAAGAACTACATATTTTTGTCTATTTCTCTGTGCTTTATCAAATTTTCCTGGTTATGGTTGTTAAATGACGCTAAGCACTTATTTTCGATGACTGATCGTTGTAATGAACCAATTATGAGATTTTAACCAATTCCCAACACTACTGTTCACCCAGCAGTGAATGGGTACCCAGTGGGACAAGTCCTATGACTGTTAACCTTCTAGAGCCTCACAGGCAGCTTGGTTTAACTGGGGTAATAATGTCTTAGTACTTTGAGCATCCACATACATACAGGCACTGTACAACAGTCCATTATCACAATTATTACAACACAATTTTACCAACATAAAGATGTATGCTAAAGGTACAGTTAAGAGATAGATGAATTGACACACCCACCTCAGTAGCTGTGAACTCCAGTCCAACATCATCAGCAAGTCTGGAGATGAAGTCTATGGCTTTACCTGCACAAAATAAAATCAGAGCTATGAAATATCCTTTATAATACTTTTGCCCCCAAGCTTACAGTCTATCAATCAAAATGACTAAAAGTAAGAACAATCTTCACATACCCATTCAGTATGAGGCAAACTTGTACTTGGTATGCCTGTACATTGTTATCTCATTTCATAAACCTATAGTGATGTCATCACATTGTCCCTGAGGGTTGTCCAAGTTCGCCAAGTCCTCAACCTCAGTTTCTATTATCCAAGCCCATTTATGACATTTGTATCACTGGTTTTATTGGATAAGGGTGTACTCTGTATTGTATTGTATCCTAGTCCTTGTATCATGGTGCACAAGAATTTTGATGTATCATCATGCCTGAAAAAATGACCTTTAATCCCAGTGGTCAAGATGTCAAAAATTGCATCTATACTTTTCATTTAAGCAGATCTATGGCATCAGGAGACCCACTCCTCGAGTTCCTTACTCAATAGTGAGTGAGTGAGTGAATTTGGTTTTACGCCTCTTTTAGCAATCTTCCAGCAATATCATGGCGGGTGACACTAGAAATGGGCATCACACATTGTACTCATGTGGGGAATCGAACCCGGGTCTTCGGTGTGACGAGCGGTCGCTTTCACCATTAGGCTACCACACTGCCCCTTACTCAATGAATAAGAAACAGTTCATGAATATTCAACATCAGGTGAACCACATTCAATTTAAATAATGCTGTGCGGGGAATATCTCGATGCCCTGAATCCCCACTTTACATTTAAATTCATTAATCAATGAATAACTATATAGATCATAAATATTCAACATCAGGAAAAGTTTATAACATATGAACAACATTCTGTGCTATGAATACTTGTATCCCCCAGATTTTGAATTTTTTTATTCTTTAACAACCTTTGTGCGGACATTCCAGCTAAGAGTATTCGTCTCCAGGAATATATGCTTGATGTGTATGAGTGAGTATGGTTTTACGCTGCTTTTCGCAATATCCCTGCAATATCACAGTGGAGGACACCAGAAATGGGCTTCACACATTGTACTCATGTGGGGAACCGAAACCCGGATCTTCGGTTTGATGAGCTTTAACTTTAACCACTATTCTACCCTACTGCCCCCTTAATGTAAGGGTTGGTTGTTGGTTAGTTTGTTGTTTAACGACGCACTCAGCAGTATTCCAGCTATATGGCAGCGGGCTGTAAATAATTGAGTCTCGACCAGACAATCCAGTGATCAACAGCATGAACATCGATCTACGCAATTGGGATACGATGGCATGTATCAACCAAGTCAGCGAGCCTGACCACCCGATCTCATTAGTCGCCTCTTACGACAAGCCTGGGTTACGGAAGACTAACCCTGACCTTCACGGGTATTGATGTAAGAGGCAACTAAACACTGGAAAAATGGATTACGTGGTCAGTGTGGTGATATGAAGGACAACTATCACTGAAGTATGTGGGTTTATTCTAGCTCAAGATGGGCTTACATAACAAGCATGGCAAGGCAGTGGCCATGTGCTCTCGACTGACTAGAACAAGGGCAATCAGAGTTATTCCCCCTTACACTATAAATAGCACTGGGGCCCTGTTGGGGATAGAGGCCCATTTAGGGTTGTACAGTTCATACTAGAATAGCTGATACCACAGTCAGGATCATAGGCTTTGCAACCTTAAGTAACAACCTGGATCTAGATTTTCGAAGCTATCTTAGCGCTAAGATAGTCATAAGTGCCATACATTAACATTAACTTACGACTATCTTTGTGCTAAGAGAGCTTCGAAAATCTAGACTCTGGTTACATCAAATAAAAACAAATTGCAACTGATGCCCAATAAAATTGACATATAATGCTTATATATAATGCTTGAGTTTCGTACTGGTGATTCAGAACATCATTATAACAAAGAACTTCCGGGTCTGATAAGGTCATTTTAGATTACTTTATAAACTGTCATATCACTCAGTCATTCAATCACTGTGTGTGCAGTTGTCGTCAGAGTCACTGCTCCAAGCAAGTTCATGTTTTTTAAATGAATTTATTTGTTATTTATCAAAGTGAAATATGCAAAATGGAACATATCAAAGCAAGGGAGGATGATTGTCAACATTCTTATATGTTATTTTGACAGGAATGTTGTCACTGGTTAGATCTGTTGTTGTGATAAATTAACACGGTCAACAGAGACAAATGTCAGAATGTTTTTGCTTATGTATCACTGAATATAATTGAAAACAAGCTGCTGACTTGTTGCATTCGTTACTCAATATTTGTATTCATTGCTCGTGTTCGTGATATATAATAATGGATTGTTTCAGTCATATACCACTTGTATATTCTGTATAACCTGTCACATACATAAATACATACATACACCGTAACCTAAATTCGTGGATCGCGGAAATTATTATGCTAGCTCGTAAATTAAGTCTCGACTGACGTCACGAAGCGGTACTTTTGATGTACATACAATGCCACGCCTCGCTGACAAAAAAGTTTCGAATCTCTGCATTACACGCAAGTACACTAAATATAATTGTCCAGCATTGAGATAAATAGCCCCATATCACTAATACCACCATTGCCATTAGGCATTTTCAATTTGCTGAATCAATGAATAAAATAATCAGTGCGTATACAAAATGAAATCATGCATTTGAAAGATGAATTCCGCCGCACTTCCCTTATATTCACGAATCAAGGTTACGCGAGTATACTATCTCGGTGCCCCTATCTCAATTATTGCATTTATCTTAAATGTTTTATTTGCTTGAATTTATACATTTTACTTGTGACCGTTTTTGAGAGTCGTGTCGGGCCGTTTGTATCACACACAGCAACATTCGCCAACGGCAGTTTCAGTAACACGATTCAGTGCAGTAGACGTGTGGAATTTGGAATTATCACATTATGATTTTAACATGAATATGCATCAATAACAATCAAGTTGTAAACATCATAATTACTATAATCTGGATCCGGGTGCACTGTTGGAATCCTCAGGTACTCCCTGAAGAGTGACACGGCAGGGTCTTCCTTCTCAGACATTGTTCAGTCGGCGAGCTAAAACCTGCAGTCGCGATGAAGGTCGGCTGTGTACACCGTTTTGCCCATCGAAGGGAGATAACTCTAAATCCTGAGCTGAACCTTGTTCAAACTCAGCTGTTTATGTTGGGGAAAATATGACTTGCGGTTTACCCAGCTATTTAAACCGGTCTGTTTAATTTCCACCAATTTTTCACCTTATTATCATTCGTTATAAATTATTGTGATGTGGCCGGACTGCGGCGTTAAAAACATCACTTCCTTGTTCACTAACCCGCTCATCCCCTACACACTCACTCATTCGTGAGTGTAATGTCTACATATTGCATTGCCTTTATCTGAATATTTCGAATTACATAATGCATTGATACATATCAGATAATTATCATTTTTAAATATAGATATTTAAAAAGATATTTAAAACTATATAGATATTAAATTTAAAAAAAATACATCAAACTAACAACCATCAAAATAAATACCAAAACAAACAAAAGAAATAACAAACCAAAGGACAAACATACAAAAAAGTAAAACAACCCTAAAAGAACAAACACATGTACATATGCATGCAGAAAATTACTTTCGAATAATTGAAACCTCACGATTCTCATCGCACATAAATACTACACATGGCACACATTAATGCCACAAGTGGCGCACATTAATACCACAATGACGCACATTAATACCACAAGTGGCGCACATTATACCACAAGTGACGCATATTAATACCAAACTTAAGGCACATTATACCACAAGTGGCGCACATTAATGCCACAAGTGGCGCACATTAATGCCACAAGTGGCGCACATTAATGCCACAAGTGGCGCACATTAATACCACAAGTGACGCACATTAATACCACAAGTGGCGCACATTAATGCCACAAGTGGCGCACATTAATACCACAAGTGGCGCACATTAATACCACAAGTGGCGCACATTATACCACAAGTGACGCACATTAATACCACAAGTGGAGCACATTAATACCACAAGTGGCGCACATTATGCCACAAGTGGCGCACATTAATACCACAAGTGGAGCACATTAATACCACAAGTGGCGCACATTAATGCCACAAGTGGCGCACATTAATACCACATAGTGGAACACACTATACCACACTTGACGCACACTAATGCCACACATGGCGCACATTAATACCACAAGTGGCGCACATTATACCACACCTGACGCATATTAATACCAAACTTAAGGCACATTATACCACAAGTGGCGCACATTATACTACACAAGACGCACATTAATACCACAAGTGGCGCACATTATGCCACACATGACGCATATTAATACCACACTTGAGGCACATTTTACCATTTTACCACAAGTGGCGCACATTATACCACACATGACGCATATTAATACCAAACTTAAGGCACATTATACCACAAGTGGCGCACATTTATACACAAGACGCACATTAATACCACAAGTGGCGCACATTATACCACACATGACGCATATTAATACCACACTTGAGGCACATTTTACCACAAGTGGCGCACATTATACCACACATGACGCATATTAATACCACACTTGAGGCACATTTTACCACAAGTGGCGCACATTATACCACACATGACGCATATTAATACCACTCTTGAGGCACATTATACCACAAGTGGCGCACATTATACCACACATGACGCACATTAATACCACATATGACTCACAATAATACCACACATGGCACACATTAATATAACAAGTGGCGCACACTATACCACACATGGCGCATATTAATACCATACTTGAGGCACAATACCACAAGTGGCGCACATTTATACCACATTTTGGCGCACATTATACCACAGGTGGCGCACATTATACCACACTTGGCGCACAGTGGCGCACATTATACCATGTGGCGCATTAATACCACACAAGTGGCGCACATTACCACCAAGTGGCGCATGACGCACATTAATACCCAACATGGCGCACATTATACCACACTTGACGCACACTATACCACAAGTGGCGCACATTATACCACACTTGATGCATATTAATACCACACTTGAGGCACATTATACCAAAAGTGGCACACATTAATACCACAAGTGGCGCACATTATACTACACATGACGCATATTCATACCAAACTTAATGCACATTATACCACAAGTGGCGCACAATATACTACACATGACGCACATAATACAAGTGGCGCACATTATACCACACTTGACGCACACTATACCTGACGCACACTAATACCACACATGACGCACATTAATGCCAAAATTAACGCACATTATGCCACAAGTGGCGCACATTATATTACACATGACGCACATTAATACCACACGTGGCGCACATTTTACCACACATGACGCATATTAATACCACACTTGTGGCATATTATACCACAAGTGGCACACATTATACCACACATGACGCACATTAATACCAAACTTGTGGCACATTATACAAGTGGCACACATTATACCACACATGACGCACATTAATACCACACTTGACGCACATTAATACCACACTTGACGCCTCGTGGTTTGGTAGACTGTCAGTTTTACCTGAAGTCATGGCGCTGCAAACTATAGAAATGGTCCCTATACAGACGCGAAGTCTCTTGACGCACAGTACACCCCGGCGCTGCGCCTGACTCAATGTTGTGACGCGACTGGTCGGTATTATCTAGGAATCGTACCTGCATACTAAAAGTATCCTCTTTCATGTTACGATGTATAGTGGTTAATTGATCCCTATTTCCCACAGTTTTGCAGTTTGTGCTTGGCTATATATATCGTGTAGTGTTATCTTATGAATGATATATAAAGGTATTAACGCATCACGGTGAATATCAACAATGTGCCTACTAAGCATAATGATATTCGTCCTAACGCTGCAACGCGTGATCCGCTTACAGCAAGTCATCTGTTATAGCCAACTACGGTTATAAGAAACACGCTTATAACGAACGGATGGATATAACGAACTGATGGATATAACGAACCGTGTTTAAGTCTCCTCCACATGCTGTATTTCTTAATCGAATTGCGTATAGCGAACTACGGTCATAAGAAACTATAAGTAGCGGTCCCTTTGAATTCGTTATAACCGAAGTTTACTGCATTCATATAAAATACTGACTGACTGAATTTGGTTTTACGCCGCTTTTAGCAATATTCCAGCAATATCACGGCGGGGGACACCAGAAATGATTCATATAAAAGAGGGGCGATGGGGTAGCCTAGTGGTTATAGCGTTCGCTCGTCATGCTGAAGACCCGAGTTCGATTCCCCACTATGGGTACAATGTGTGAAGCCCATTTCTGGTGTCCCCCGCCGTGATATTGCTGGAATATTGCTAAAAGCGGCGTAAAACCAAACTCGCTCACTCACATAAAACACTTGTGCATTTGTTTGTTGCTACACGCCACACTTGGAAATATTCCAACTACATGATAGCTGGAGCGGACAATCCAATAATTGATATTGCGAGCAACGCAACACGCCTTCGGGTCACGAGAACATTTAAATTACGAAGTCACGACGCCTGTGCTCCCAATTTATTCAGTAGCGTATTTTTACCCAGCATGGGTTGCTGGGGACGTATTATAGTCTCCACGTGGGTTATAAACCATGATATACAGAGGTGATTCTTGGGGACTCAGCGGATATGGTATCCGCGCCGAATTCAATGGTCCCACTGTGCCAGAGTTCATGTCGTGTTTGGACAGAGGAAATAAATACTTCTAGCCTGTCATTCTCACGCTGTCACTACACATGCTCATTCATGGACGTACAGCATAAAGTAGATCGACTTCAACACACCGAAACCTTGTTAATCCGAACGTAACATTTCAGTCAAATCGTCAGTGGCACCCGTACCACAATGCGATCGTAATGTACATTTTGTTTGCTTGTTGTTTAACACCGCGCTCGGCAATATTGCATCTATATGACGTAGGTCTGTAAATGATCGAGTCTGGACCAGACAATCCAGTGATTGACATCATGAACATCGCAATACACGGTACGCAATTAGGATACGATGACATGTGTCAACCAAGTCGGCGAGCCTGACACCCAATCCCAATTGCCTCTTACGACAGATCGTAGTGCTAACGTGATCGTAACTCATTATTACGTGAACCAAAGACTGTCGCAGTGCTAAAATCGCTTTGTGAAATGGATTTCTGGATTTCTATTGCCATGGAGTAAAGTCTTGCATCATTTAGTAGATCAACCCATGAACATCGAACTCCCGTAATCTGGACAGTATCATGTCAGTCAATTCGTCAGGAGTAATACATTTCTGGATAATTTCTGATTTGTGCATTTCCTTGTACCGTAATCTCGTTTAACCAGACCGTACCTTCCTTTTATCAGCAACGGCCATTGAATACTGGTTTTGTCCCGACCGTGTAATACAGACAAATTTTGTGGATAACAACTTTTTTATTTCGTCCGTGCGACGTATAGATACAGATTCGTGTACAGTTGTCAAACAGGGTCTGAATCTGTATAACGTCGCACTCACGAAATAAAGAAGTTGTTATCCATAAAGTTTGTCTTTGTTGCACCTCCCAATTTCTAAAATACCTCTCAAAGAAATCAGTACCATTTGCTGTATACTCTGCTCGAAATGCGTGTTACGAACTACGGTAATAACGAACTAATATTAGTAGCCCTTTGAGTTCGATATAGTGTACTGTATATCGGTGTCACATGAAGAGATTTAAAAAAATTGGAATGATTGAAAGAAGAGGTGATGCCTGGCCTTTTTGAGATGAATACATTAATACAAATATTAATTTGATCGGATCGAAGTACCGAATAAATCAACAGGTCTTAACCTCCTTAGCGACCACCTGCCAAGACGCGAAGTAGTCTACATACACTGAAACCATGTGGAATAGAACCAAAGCCTGTTAGTGCCCAGCAAACGCGATACCCACTCGGCTACCATACAGACGTATGTTTTACAACAATCTATATAATTTTCACACATTACCAACAGTATATTTCTTTCTTCACATAAACACACCCAGAAGGTCGCCCTTGACCTAATAACCCAGAGGCACGTGGCCATGTGAATGATTAATCAGTCAATGCGTATTAAGCGTGGAAGACGAGCTGTTTAGGAAGAGGTGTGCGTTCCCCTGATTTCACTACTTGTCAGACAAGAGATGGGCTTTCCTGCCTGGGTGAGAAACAGACGCTGTCAGATCCCCCATACTTCCCCACCCCCCTTTCCCGATGTGGTTGACGATTTTCCTGTTGTGTATAGTAAAAGGCCATTTTACTACGTTTAGCACAGTATTCCCAGCAGTGATATAGCTTACATGGTGTGAGTGAGACGACTCAGGTATGTTTGTGGATGTTACTATGTTCATTTAATCAAGAGTTCATATTCTTGTATAAAGTCGCAGGGATCCTTCTTCTATTATTCTTGTATTGGTAGAAGCATCTTTAACTATGTTATTAATGTTAATTTAATTTATTAGATTTCATTTATATAAATTTAATTATAATTTCATTATAATGCATTTATTGTTTTTCATGGGTTTGGCGACGATTTGTGATGACCTAGATGAGTTGAAATTTATTACTAAAGTCAGTAAATATGACAAGAGAACATAATCACGAATATATTTCGCTACTTTTTGTTGCGGGTGTTTAACACATTCAGTTTAAATATTTGTTAATACCATTTATTTATTTACTTATTTATTTATTTATTTATTTATTTATTTATTTATTTATTTATTTATTTATTTATTTATTTATTTATTTATTTATTTATTTATTTATTTATTTATTTATTTATTTATTATACTAAAAATGTATACATGTACTTTCTTACAGCATGTTTAGCAACATCACTATCGAAATACATCCTTCATCAGTTTAGCAAAACATATCCGCCACATGATCAGCTACATGATCACCAAGTTAAGACTAGGAGGCATAGCTGGGTTATATTTTTATACGCTGTTATTTAAAGAAGCGGTGGGAAACGAAATGGAAAAACGTCAGATAGGTTACATTCATATTTGGTCATCAAATATTTGAAGAGAATGTTTTCCGATTCCTTCTTGTGGTCGAATTATCGACAAGGATTAGATCAATTGGCCAAAGCGGTTATTTATACGTATTTGTTAAGACCGACAGCCCGACCAGACTGTCCGTGGGTACACTGCATGAGACCATTCTTGCCGCTCGTCCGTGAGTGAGTATGGTTTTACGCCGCTTTTAGCAATATTCCAACAATATCACGGCGGGGAACACCACAAATGGACTTTACTCATTGTGCCCATGTGGGGAATCGAACCCGGGTCTTCGGCGTGACGACCGAACGCTTTAACCACCAGGCTACCTCACCGCCCGTGATGTCACTGAAATATTGGTTAAAGGACCGTAACAAACACTGTCTATATACTGACACATATGTATGTTTACAACATAGTAACCGACTGAGTAATGATATGGTGAGACAATTCCGTTGCTATGGCGATAGATTAACGCATAGTTTCTGAAAATATATAATTTTGATAGAAACAAATAACTATTATATTTAAAAAGGAGCCCCAGTGAGATGGGAGATTCAACTTTAACATGAGGAAACTCCGACTTGCTTCAGTGAGCGATGTTGCTTGACAGATAGTGTTGTTGGAAGGGGAAATACTATGGTTCAGGGACTGTGGGACTGTACCGTTCATCGCCGGTATTGTACGTTGTGAAACCACACAGTGAATCACCATCATTAGTCAGATATTCAAGTGTCAGTCGTTACACTCAGATGTTTGACAGTGACGCGAGTTGCAACGGCGGGGAAATCGTGTTTGAAAGATACACTTAGAGACAGATATGTATTAGGTTTTGGTCAATTTATGAATTTATGTAAAAGTCACTTATGTTCGATTTTTTTTTTTTTTAAATGCATTTATTTGAATTTCAACCATATGTTTAATTTATGGGATCCTCTGTAATTTTGTTGCGGTTCCTTTTTCTGTCACTTGCCAGCTTGGACAGTCAACCACCCTCCCAAGATTCCAAGTTGGTATTGACACCCAAATGCTCTTGTTATCGGGTTCAATCGGGTTATAATGTCGATCACTGGATTGTTTGGTCGAGTCTCGACTAATGACGACCGACGTCTTTTAGCTGGAAGTGAGCCGAGTGCGGCATAGACCAACAAACCTACATGTCGTTCCTACAGCCTCTCCTATATGTCACATCCCATGGTTTTCTTCGTATATAATTGAATATGACAGTCTTAGGCATATCATATTTTAACAAAATAACTTATTAATTAAATAGGTAATAAAATCATTTAACTTCAACAATTTCATGACATTAACGGCAGCAGAGTAACACTTCCCACCAAATAACCAGGAAGTTAACAACTGCAAATAACAACGTAGATAATTCTGACCAATCGCATCTCTCGGATAAGAATGAGTCATATCAATATTTCTTCGAAATGAAATGGCAAATGCTATCATATGATCCACGACTGGTCGACGGTTGCGAAGCTCGTGTCGTTAGTGTCTAAGTAACTAACTTCGTTCGTTCATATATTTTGTGGACAGCCAAACACGCACTACAGCTAGCTGTAACCGGTATGTATGCAACTGTTACAACGGTATACTCTTTGTCTCTGACTATATATACCGTATATGGCCGTAGATAAGCTGAATTTTGAGGACCGAAAAAAAAGGCAGCCTATAGAAGGGGATCGGCCTATATGCAGGTTAAACTTTCGTCAAACTTTTTTTCTGGCGGTCTATTAACGATCGTATCGCGAACAAAGAAGAGAAAACGACTTTGTCAGTGAAGACGTCATATTTACAATGAAACATAACCAGACAACAGTATTTACCTTTTCATTTTACAGAGAAACAAATAATTCTTTTTGAATTTAAAAGGAGACCCTATGGGATTGAGATGCAGAACCTGAGGAAAAATAGACCTGCTTCATTTAGGGCTTTAGCATTTCAGAGAGGGGTAGGCGACAGGGAAGTACTGCGGTTCAGGGACTGTGAGATAGGCGTTATGTTCAAAAGCATACCAGAGGTATTGGGACTTGAAAGCACTCTACATTCCTAGCTTCCGTTATCACAGTTTTTTTTGAAGGAAATGCGTTTCTTGTTGGTTTATGGAATAATTAGGTTGTCGCTTTGAACAAGATCCTTGCTACTAAGACTTGATAACTATTGCAGGTATATTTGCCTTTCAAGAACGCTGAACGTATAGAGAAACGTAGGTTAATGCCTGGTCTGTGAGCATGTATAATTGTGATTAGAATTAACTCCGTTTGAATTAAAAAAGCGCCCTAGTGAGATTCAGAATCTGAGCCTGTGGAAAATGTATACTTCATATGTTTCATATAGGGCTATAACATTACAGGGATGTTGGGTAGATTAGTGACCCGGGTTCGATTCCCCATATGGGTACAATGTGTGAACCCATTTCTGGTGTTCCCCGCCGTGATATTGCACGAATATTGCTGAAAGTGGCGTAAAACCATCACTCACTTACACCCCATAATATTAAATGGCTGAGCGGAAGGGAATGTAATATAGTTCGGGGAATGCGACGGTGAACTAGAAATGTGTTCAACGGTATTGACTGAGACTGATATATGCTACAACAGCCTGGCGTCCCGTGAATTGTACTTCCTGGCAAAAGAATGAACTCCTCTATCATGGTTTGATGCTGGATAGTATGGGAACAATTTGACAATTTATTATCGTATGGTGATGAATTTGATACTGGTATCACAGGCGATATTCATGCATCATATCAATGAGGATCTCAGGCGACTATGTCAGCCTTGTCACGTTTATAATTGTTTTGTCGAATTTAGTGTTCAAGTGAAAACGTTCTTTTGTTAGCAGTTAACAAATTTTCCTTTGTTTCATACTGGTCGTAAGAGGTGATCAAAGAAATACATCTAAATATGTTTTGTCACTTTCTGCGACGTTTTCGAGTATATGGCCATTTGCGCAGAATAAGTTGCACCAGTTCAGGGTCTCGATGCACAAAAAGGTTCCTAGCCCTTTGACATTCGTAAACCTATGATTAACTGCAGAGTTACGACAGGTTGTAACGTTACGGACGCTTTGTGGGTCGGGACCCTGAGCCCTAATTAACGGGATGACTGAGCTATTGCAATGTGGGACCTGACTAATTTTGTCATCGTATCACAATGCTTCTGACATCAAATTCCGTTTCGCCTGACCCAGATTTAGATTTAAATGACGCGTCGTCAATATCTGGGATATTGCTGACTACAGCACAAAACAACATTCATTCACCTGTAACAATTATCATGTTTTACAGATTAAAAATAGTATGCAGCAGAGTAAGGTCGGGTGGTCCTCGCACAGTCAGGCTGGTAAGGCTTACCATCAGCTCAGGTACCCTTGCCCCCTCTCAATATTCTTATTCTTATTTTGCAGATGATGAACGCCAGTATGATGTCCCCATCACCTCTTCTAGTCAACTGTTCAGAACCCGTATGTAATTCGTCCTTGACCGAAGTGGACCATGATCTACTGATGCAAGAAAACGACAGACATGCACTTCAGTACATTCCGGTAATGATATACGTTGCCATGCTTATGGTCACCGGCGTCTTTGGCAACGGCCTTGTTGTCTACGTCTATCGACGTCGCTTTAAGAAGACATCTTCCAATTACTTCATCCTGACGATGGCCATATTTGACCTTGTCGCCTGCCTGATTGGAATGCCGACCGAGATCTACGACCTTCGTTATCCGTACGCGTTCTACAGTTCGTCAGGATGCAAGATCTTCCGGTTTGCCGAGACTTTTTCAATATACGGGTCAGCGTGCGTCCTGCTAGAAATTGCCTTTGACCGTTACTTCAAAATCTGCCGTCCGTTAATGGTGATCAGCTTGTTTAAGATCAAGATGTTGTGTATTCTAGCAGCAGTTATGGCCCTTGTTCTTTCGGCACCCGCAGCAGTCATCTTCGGCATCAGCCATCCCATCATCCCCAACACAAACCTCATGGGCTACGACTGCTCCATCGACAAAGACTACAAGAACAAGGTGTTCCAGATCGTGTACTATGGCGTTCTCATGCTGATCTTCGTGGCGTTTCTCCTCATCCTGACGGTCCTGTACATCAGGATCTGGATGGAGATACGGAGCCGGCAGAAGATGGTCATCGGCGACCAGATCTCCAAACCAACGGAAGAAGTACACGAACGCAAGAAGATGCGGGTCAAATATCTTCCAAGCGTCAGCGACGAAGACTCTTGCTCAAACAGCAACGGTCATACAGTCTCCGCCACACAGACCGTGCGCTCCCGTTTCGCAAGCTTGTCCACGTACGCCTCCAAACTCCACGTAAGCCGTACGACAATCGTACTTTTCGCCGTCACCGTAGCCTTCCTTATAAGTTATTTGCCTGCTATTGTCATAATGATCATCCGATCTGTGGACAAAAGCATTGAAGAGACTCAGAGCACCACTGCGGCCGTTACAAGCAAGCTCTTCTCCAAGTTCTTTCTCATCAATAACGCAATCAATCCAATCATCTACAGTTTCTTGAACATTAACTTCAGACGCCAGGCTAAGATAGCGATCAAGAAGCTTCTGTGTTGTGAAAGGAGGAGAAGGAGATATCCACAGAAATGTGACTCTGACAGAAGCACGAAGAAGGAAATGATTCCTATTGACTGTTGACTGTCGTGTAGCTTTTAGTGTATCAACACCGACTATAGCGAACCCCGTTAGACCGAACCCTCTCTTTCCGGGCGGTTACTGTTGGTAGCGTATGAGAGACCTTATCCGTATACCCATGATTCTTAAACGGGCATCTGTTAATGCGGACGATTTCATGGGGGAGCAACATAGTTCGGATTAACGAGGTTTTGCTATTAACGAGGTTTTGTTGTATACAACCCATGACGGAGGTGGCCGGCCCATCTCCTCTCATTCCTGTAGTACATATGCTTGCATTTGACTTAGAATACTTTTTTTTATAAATAAAGTGTTGTTGGCGATGTGTGATATGTGTCAAAAATATCTTGTGCCACAAAAGAAAAATACATCTTTTGTAAAGAAGAACATTTTCGTCTCATATACGGGGATGCGGGTGGCCCGTTCGTTTAAGGCTATTCGCATGGTGGGACCGTTAGTTGTGCCAGAAACACGTGGTACTAGGTTCGAAGCCCTGATTATGTTTCTTGGTTTGTCACCACCATACAGCGCGTTACACCAAATGAAGTCATCAATTCAAGCTTTCTCTCACACCAAATCCACACTCTTGATATAACCGAAATTCGCTTCCAACGCAACCACTAACTCATATACTGTATATTGAAACTGGTTATCCTTCGAGCAGCTGTAAATTACATGAATTTATATAGAGTGGTATTTTTTACATGGATTCTATCTCCCTGTATTTTCACGTTTTTCAAATTCGCTCCTAGCCCCCATTTTAACATGGGTTAGGGTGTGTCGATGGTCACACATATTTTCAGTTGTAATTTTTAGAAAGTATCAAATATAGTGAGTTTTTTGTATCTGACAGTAACACACTGAAAAATGTGTATGTTTTTATATCACTCTGGTAGACATTAAAATAATCATTTTCGTTCCAGGGGTACAATGTGTGAAGCCGATATCTGGTCTTCTCCGCCGTAATATTGCTGGAATATTGCTAAAAGCGGCGTAAAATCAATTCACTCACTCACTCATTTTCGTTCCTGATTTTTAGTTCTTCCCCTTAAGTGAAACTTCGTGGTAGGAGGCCGTTTATAAGAAACATTTGTAGACTTAATCTGAAAAGTATATACGGGCCACGACAGGGAAATTGTAAATAGTCACGAAAATCAGCATGCATATATGTATTTCCTGGGAGACGAACACCGAAAAGCGTCAGTGTCAGTACAGTGCATGGAGTTTAGACGTAGTATTAGTCAGATGTATCCGCTGGTCGGAACTCGTCATGACGTCGGTGTGAGCTCGGCTCCGTCTCCCATGTGTTAGTAAACTAGCATCAACCAGGATATGGGTTGTAACTTCGAGTTCGGGAGGAGTAATAAGTTCGCCCTTTCGCTGCTCTTAACCCAAACTCGGTACACAATGATCCAAATGTAGAACTCTAGCTTAAAGATGCTCTCGCATGCTCTCGGCGAATAACGTCGCCTTGAAATGCTAATCGTTTGGCGTTTATATTTTTTTATGAATTAACTTACTGGTCAGTAGTATCACTTTCAGTTTTCACTTACGCCAAGGGCGATTATCAATAAAACAATCACACTGTCCTAAGCACTGAATACAATGACCTGTAATGTTCTCTCCAAGCAGTGTGAGGCTAAATTTGTTCACCAGTATAAACTGTTTCAACATTCCTGTTACATTTCACAAAAATGTCTCATGTAAGATAAAGAATTGGATATTTTTCCTCGGCCTGTCGACGTACACCAATGAAAAGATATCCGTAATTTGATAAGCTAAAAATATAAACTGTTAATTATTGTACTACAATAGAGTAGTATGAGATATGGAAGAATATTTTGGAGCTGAGGGATACGACTAGCCACGACTAGGCATCAGCCAGGGTGACCGTATACGTCTGCTGGTATTTAGTTACTTTGTGAATTATGCCCACAGTTGTTAAGTAAATAATGGTCTTTCCGAAGAACACAAATAAAAAAATGCATAAAGTTCAGCTGTGTCAAAATATTTATCTTTTATAAATAAAAGAGATGGTTGCTTTACTACACGTAGAATATTAATTGACAAATATGCATTAAAATCAAACATAACTTTTAAACATTTTTATTATTTTTAACATATTATATACATCACTTTTGCAGGAAATTGGTATCTATTTACTTATTGGTACTTATTGATATCTGTAATCAGCTGCTGTCAGCTGTAGTTAGTTGCATGTAAAGTAAAGAAATGTCGATGTTAATGTTGTGTTTGTCAGATTTCATGAAGTATCACTCGTTAATGTTTTATCAGTGTATATATATATATATATAAGTGTTATAATATTTGTTATTTATTTGTTGTGTATATACTAACATAATAAGAGTGTTTTTATGGCTTGTGTCGACGTATTTTTGATGCTTTCTGGAACTGTCTTATTTATAGCATTGTGTGTTTCCATGTTGCTTGTATAGTGTTGTTTGCGGGCCAAACTTGCGTCGGATCTCACGTGCTATATGTATGTCAATATGTGGACACCAACCTGAGCTCAATCACCTTGGAAACGCCTACACCCCATTTCTCATGACTTAATTCCCTTTTTAGAAGTGGTTTGTCTCTTCCGGTCCCCCAACATCCGGGCACTGTCAGTTTGTATATTGCCAATTTATGTCGTGTTTCGATAGTTGACAGTTTCGGGAGACATCAGCGTAACAACTGTTGTAGATGTATTTTTGTATAACCCAGCCCTAATCCATTATCTGTTTGGTATTAGAGTGTTATTTTCATTGTGATTATTTTCCCTCGATCATCTTAAATACTCCCTAAAGCGGCGTTAAACTCAATTCACTCACTTACTCATTATTACGCTACAAGTGCCTGTGAAAACCAAGAACACAATTGAGCTTTTTGTTTCATATAAATAGCTAAAAGCGAAACGCTTTTGGTATGATTCTATTTTTAAGTCAAGCTGTTTAAAATGAATTCAAAATAATTTTCATTATGACATTCTCCGCCTGTCATCTTTCATTTATGAAAAAAATGATTTTTTTTTAACAAAATGGCAGCAGGACTCTTATGACTATGAAACAATGGATTTTGTGTGTAAGTTTGATCAAAATGTATAAACTTGATATGAATATATAACTACTATTTTGTTAAGATATATGAATGTCGGTATTCAGTATGTGTATTCGTTATCACTCCCCTGTACGGAACTAGCAGAAAATAGTACACGAAAATGTACGAATGTTGACGAATATATCGTTGCCATGAATTTGCTTGTGTTCTACATTTACAGTGTTTATAGTACTGTTTAATATTATGTCGTGTTTTGGACAATGCAGATATATACACGCTATTGTTGATATCCATGAATAGCTTGCATTGGAAGAGTATTGTATTGTATTTATGGACTTTTCATTTCTTCATTGTCATTGCTATCGGCCATTGATGTTTGGCTGCGCATTTGGTTTGACAGAGACTGGGTTTCCGTCTACTGATGGGTAATGTATGATGTACCTCTAAACCAGTGCGATTTCGCCATAAAATAACGGAAAATCTCATTGCATGTCAACGGCTTGTCTTTTTTTCAGCAGTGTTTAGGATGATTTCATTTAAGCCAAGTGATGGCCCTAGTATGTATAGTTTCGGATTCTGTATCAAATAAGACACGCCATTATTTTCATCATCTCGTTGTCTTGTGAAGTTTTGAAATAAACCAACTTTTTTTCGTTGCAATACTGTTTATTGCTTATTAATGTTATGTGGGATGCTTTGAAGTTTGACAGCTGCTGCCACACTGTTTGTCTGACCACGCAGTGCTTGGACATCCCAGTGATATCACATCTTACCTTCTCCTTCATAGCCCTGGGGACCGGGAACTTAAACTGACACGGCGATATGTCAAGACCCCCTCAAAGTAATTGGGCGCCAAAGGATATACTGACGCAATTGAAAAGGGTTTAATATCGACATGGTGCTTTCTGTTTTTATAGTAATTATTTTCCAAACTGGAAGTGATGTCATCAGACCGAGTATGTGCATGTCACGTTTAGATCTTATCAAAGTTGTTAGATGTAGGTAGCTTTGTTGTAAAGTATGTTAAATGTTAAAGTCCACGATGAAACAACAAGATAACCAGAAATCTCGTAAAATCATCTGCAGGAAAACAACAAAGATAAGTCGTATATTTACAATTATGTAGAAAATTAACGAAGTTTAGCACAAAATATTGCAAAGGATTTTCGATGGCAGTACCGCTGGCAATAGAGTATCACTTCAAATGTAATGGCAGTACACAAATTCTATGGCAATAGAATACGAAATCTGTGATTATAGCAATAAAGACAGTGATGGTAGTATTCATCTAGCAACAGCAGTAGTCAGGCTAGCTATTCTCGAAACGTTCGTAACCCCACGAACTTCGTAAGCCCATTCTTAACACATTGGCTACGATCAAAGTTAAGACTTCTTAGGGCGACGAACGTTTCGAGAATAAGGGCCCAGGTTTCCAAAATAGGCCTAGGCTGGGAATTCAGGGTGTAAAATGGTCGCCGCGCAACTGCTGTTCGTGATGTGATCGATTCATTTGATTAAATGTTGCTTTAAACGCCACACTCAGCAATATTCCAGCTATATGGCCGCGGTCTGTAAATAATCGAGTCTGGACCAGACAGTCCAGTGATCAACATCAAGAACATCGATCTACGCAATAGGGATACGACATGCGTCAACCAAGTCAGCGAGCCTGACCACCCGATCCCGTTAGTCGCCAATTACAAGCATGGGTTACTGAAGGCCAATTCTGACCTGGATTTTCACGTAATGTAATGTGAGATGAGCGAGGAATGCACTGGCCCTCTATATACAATGTACATATCTCTTCATAAACATAATGCAACATGTTGGGTTAGAGGATGCTATAGCAAGATCATGTCTGCTACTTTTAGACCAGTCATGGTTCCCAGTTATAAAATGACAATTTGCACACCTCCGCCACAATTGAATCTTTACAGAAATAATATAACACTGCTGTAACATTGCTTTCCAATGAATAACACAACTAAATAACTCCCCCCACTGCATATGGCATGCATTTCCGCAACCGGACGTGTTGACAACCGACTGTGTGTATAACGTTCTGATTAATAAAGCTAGATACTCAGGACTTACTATACTTTCCTTAAAACGTAAGGGGCGGTGGCTTTCGCTGTAAATGTGTGAAGCCCATTTCCGGTGCCCCTCGCTGTGACACTGCTGGAATATCTCTTAAACCGGAAATGATGTCATTAAAACCGGAAGTGAATATACAGTGGCTTTATTTCAGCGAGAGGCATATTAAGTACTTGCACTGCAGTGAAAAAAAGAATATCTTTAGCTACTGAAATAGGTGAGCTGTCGGTTCAAAATGAAATGATTTGGTTGTCTAGGTTTCTGCATGTCTTTGCACAGTTACCACCGTACGGATGAGTGAGTGCGATTGGACTAATATCCCGGGGGCATGCTCCCCCTGGATTTTTTGAAAATTAGATGCTCTCAGGTGCAATTTCCTGCTTTCTGAAGGTAAAATGACTCCATTTATGTAATCTCCAATTTTGTATAAAATTTTATTTTTTCCTGCAACGTTTGTCCCAATTTCTTCATGTTTTTAAAAAAAAGTTTCTTTGTTCAAAATTGTAGCATCTGTACATAATGTTCTGAACTAAACTTTATAACCAGGAATGTGTTATATATATAATATATATGAAAAACAACTGTTTTACAATACTTGTATTATTATAAAATTCAGTTGACAGTCCAGAAATTGCACGTGAAATTTACATCATAAACATTATATCTTCAGGTTTGTTCATTATTTTATTTTCATGCTTTTACTAATTACCTCTTTTGTTCGTTAATTATCATAACCCACAATATGCCTTCAGTTTCTAGGGTTCCGGGTAGTCTATGTCATTGCCCTGGATTTCTTATTTTATTCAGCAGAAGGTCGCGGGTTCGATCCCCGACCGCGTCATACCAAAAAGACGTTAAAATATGGTACTTGTTGGTCCCTGCCTGGCGCTCGGCATTAATGGGTACATGCTTCACTGCGGCGTGGTATCTCAGTGGGCTAGCACTATAAAACCAGCTTAAGTCTGGTCTAGTACAAGCAGCCGCACATACACATACACACGCATGCACGTCGTCATATGAGCGAAATATTCTCAAGCACGACGTTAAACCCAATTTCACCTCACCTCACCTCTTATTTTATTTATGATAGTGGTTGTTGTAATCATACGTAATTAGGTGTATACATCATTCTGGTACCGATCATCTGTCAGATGGGCTGCCTGCAATCTTTGCGTCAGTAAGTGAGGTGTGGATACACGACACCCAAAAGAGTGTTATGTACAAAAAATAATCTGTAAAACATATCTAGGGGGCAGCTGCCCCCTACCCTCCTGGACTACCTACGGACCTGACCTGATGCGGGAGGAAAGCCCGAAGTAATGCATGTTCGAGAGAGAACTTGAAGGGAATATTGTAGCGTAACTTTCCTTTCTTCAAAACAGAAAAAAGCGGGCTAATTCTTACCTGTTGATTAATGTAGCTTGCCTGTGTTTACAGCTGAGTTTTCAGTTCATAACGTGTGCTCAAGGGGAAAGGGAGGTAACTCTATTATAGTACTATTCTTTAGAGATAAAAAAAAAGACAAAAACAAAAGAGGGCGTAGCGTTATTCGAACAAATAGAATTTCATAGAATGCAGCTGTGTATTATTAATGGAGTAATCATTATTAAGTATGTTGTTTATAGCCGCAGTTAGTATTCATATTAATATATATCACGCTTACCTGTAAATCTATTCTGGACCGGGTAAACCAAGAGCTGAAATCATGAGCATCGAACCACGCAAAGGCGATAAAGTCCAGTGATGGAGCCGGGCCATCCTCTCTATCAAACATTTGATAACACCTACGGACCTAACATATTTGGCTTCCATGTCACACTTGGAGCCGTACACAAGTTTCTCATGAAGTCATTTAAAAGATATTTATTTATAATTTTTACAAAACAATGACAACAATTTCAACAATAAAGGTCGTGGGGTTAAATGGCCATGAATCTTGTACATATAACATATGGGAATGGTCACCTATGTCACCTAATGCTGCACCCACTGATACGATGCTTCACATCAAATGCGGTCGGGTGGCCGTGTGGTTAATGCGTTCGCTCGTCACGCCAAAGACCCGAGTTCGATTCCACTCATGGGTACAATGTATGAAGCCCAATTCTGGTGTCCGCCGAAGTGATATTGCTGGGATATTGCTAAAAGCAGTGTAATACTAAACTCACTCACGACATTAATTGATCGACAACTGATCACTCGATAAAAGATGGTACTTACTGTTACCCTGCCTGGAACTGCGCCAAAAGACAACGACTCGGGGTCAGTCTACTGTACGTGACGCATAATTCCTGCCTATTTTACTCAACAATTTTGTAAAATACTTCCAAAATATATTTGTAAACCAAAAAACTCCACAATATAAAACACAATAACCATGCACTACATCAGATCACTTACATCATAGGATAAAATCGCAAAATGTGCTTTCACAGCCCTTGCTTTTATTTTAGAATTAATAAGAGAACTTTTTTATTGTAAAAATATTTTCATGCCTCACACGTTTTGAAAATGACTACCAAAAACATTTACTGTGAGTCACTATTTATCAAAGTCAATGTAAAGCCTGTATATACATGTATCTTGGATTGTACACGTCGCTAGAGAGGTCAATCCCGTCTCACCGGAAGTTAGAACTCGGCATTTACTTGGAAGATGAATCAGATTCTCAATATCAAAACCAGGTCTTTTACTCTGATACGACACACCTCTGTATTACGACGGCGTCGGATGAATCATGAATCAGACAAATCAGCCAATCAGCGTCGAGGCTTTTCAGTTCGCGATACCTTTCGTAACCACTCATAACTTTCCGTACCCCATGGTCGTGTTGTAGAGGACTACACGTATCTTGAACATGCCTTATATGGGCAATTATATTACAAGTTAGAAAACAACTTGTAAAAATTTATTCTTGTTTTTAGCATGTCTTGTGGAAACTGTTTTAAAACCACATTCGTCGTTTAATTTATAAATCCTCTTAAAGATGAAAAGCTTAGAATGAAAGGGTTACCTTGCCAGCCAAATATACATATTTATGAAAGAATATATCTGAGTGGTTCGAATTGTTTACAGCATGAATAAATCAGCAGCGCTGTATTCTCTGAAGATATTTTCTGACGCGGGAGAATCAGAGTTATCGTTCTTGTATGGTAAGGGCTCGTGTTCAACAGCCATTATTGAACCCTGGGTAGTCCATATTCTGCCTGTTGCATAATAACGGGGTGGTGGGTTAAAGCCTGATGTTGAGGGCAACCTATTTACTGGAATATCTCCAAAAGGGGCCCCAGACCACATCACTTACCCTCTCACTCATAATGATACGTAATGGTTAAAGCGTTGGCTCGTCACGCCGAAGACCCGGGTTCGAATGCCCACATGGGCACAATGTGTGAAGCCCATTTCTGGTGTCCCCCGCCGTGATATTGCTGGAATATTGCTAAAAGCGGCGTAAAACCAAACTCAGTCAGTCAGTCAGCCATAATGATACGAGCTGTTCAAGAATTTCTCAGAGTGAACGAAGCACTCCGAAAATCAGATTCCAGTATCTCAATATAGATCGAGGAAATCTCAGGGATAAAAACTTAACACCACATCATCCATTGTCCTGTGCCATATGACGACGGTCTGTAAAATAACGGAGTCTGGACCAGACAATCCAGTGATCAACAGCATGATCATCGATCTACACAATTGGGATACGATGACAGTGAGTCTGACCACCCGATCCCGTTAGTCAAGTCTTACGACAAGCGTGGGTTACTGAAGACCAATTCTAATCCAGATCTTCACTGGTTGAAGCTCCCGTGTATAATCATTTAAAAAAAAAACCCCGAATGAATAGTTCTGGTATCTGAAACCATTTCAAATATTCTGATCTGAAGACCGCTGTTGCTGATGTCTTCTGGAAAGGGTGTGACGACGTTCAAGACGAAGCTGGCAAGGATATATATATATACTCTTAAAAAAGAAACGGATAGGAGATAATGCGAATGTTGATATTGATATAAAAGCAATAGTTTGATTGAACGATGTTGGTCACATTTTCGTTAACTGGACTTTTGTGATCACTCTCCTACCCAGAGTTCCATGCGGCAAGCCAGCATAGTACCTCTGCCACAGGCCAGAAAAATGTGACGATTCGTCACATCTTGCAATGTCCATTCAATATAATGTACAGAATTCTTTTACTCTTTTATTTTTGACGAGTCTACACATCTAACTAAACATCTTTAATAGAATGGTTTAGTTTCACTGAGAAAATATCAAAAACATGTAAAATATATTTGTTTAAATAGGTTGTACGGCTCCACGTGCTGTCATCGAAGCCGACGGAGAGCAAACGATGCAGCCAGTTTGATATCTAAATATGTACTGTCATAGACCTAACAGTCGCAGTTGTGGAAGAATATATATATGTAACAATGTAAAACATTTTCTGACGCGGGAGAACCAGAGTTATCGTTCTTGTATGGTAAGGGCTCGTGTTCAAAAGCCATTATTGAACCCTGGGTAGTCCATATTCTGCCTGTTGCATAATAACGGGGTGGTGGGTTAAAGCCTGATGTTGAGGGCAACCTATTTACTGGAATATCTCCAAAAGGGGCCCCAAACCATATTCACTTACCCTCTCATTCATAATGATACGAGCTGTTCAAGAATTTCTCAGAGTGAACGAAGCACTCCGAAAATCAGATTCCAGTATCTCAATATAGATCGAGGAAATCTCAGGGATAAAAACTTAACACCACATCATCCATTGTCCTGTGCCATATGACGACGGTCTGTAAAATAACGGAGTCTGGACCAGACAATCCAGTGATCAACAGCATGATCATCGATCTACACAATTGGGATACGATGATAGTGAGTCTGACCACCCGATCCCGTTAGTCAAGTCTTACGACAAGCGTGGGTTACTGAAGACCAATTCTAATCCAGATCTTCACTGGTTGAAGCTCCCGTGTATAATCATTTAAAAAAAACCCCGAATGAATAGTTCTGGTATCTGAAACCATTTCAAATATTCTGATCTGAAGACCGCTGTTGCTGATGTCTTCTGGAAAGGGTGTGACGACGTTCAAGACGAAGCTGGCAAGGATATATATATATACTCTTAAAAAAGAAACGGATAGGAGATAATGCGAATGTTGATATTGATATAAAAGCAATAGTTTGATTGAACGATGTTGGTCACATTTTCGTTAACTGGACTTTTGTGATCACTCTCCTACCCAGAGTTCCATGCGGCAAGCCAGCATAGTACCTCTGCCACAGGCCAGAAAAATGTGACGATTCGTCACATCTTGCAATGTCCATTCAATATAATGTACAGAATTCTTTTACTCTTTTATTTTTGACGAGTCTACACATCTAACTAAACATCTTTAATAGAATGGTTTAGTTTCACTGAGAAAATATCCAAAAACATGTAAAATATATTTGTTTAAATAGGTTGTACGGCTCCACGTGCTGTCATCGAAGCCGACGGAGAGCAAACGATGCAGCCAGTTTGATATCTAAATATGTACTGTCATAGACCTAACAGTCGCAGTTGTGGAAGAATATATATATGTAACAATGTAAAACATTTTCTGACGCGGGAGAACCAGAGTTATCGTTCTTGTATGGTAAGGGCTCGTGTTCAAAAGCCATTATTGAACCCTGGGTAGTCCATATTCTGTCTGTTGCATAATAACGGGGTGGTGGGTTAAAGCCTGATGTTGAGGGCAACCTATTTACTGGAATATCTCCAAAAGGGGCCCCAAACCATATTCACTTACCCTCTCATTCATAATGATACGAGCTGTTCAAGAATTTCTCAGAGTGAACGAAGCACTCCGAAAATCAGATTCCAGTATCTCAATACAGATCGAGGAAATCACAGGGATAAAAACTTAACACCACATCATCCATTGTCCTGTGCCATATGACGACGGTCTGTAAAATAACGGAGTCTGGACCAGACAATCCAGTGATCAACAGCATGATCATCGATCTACACAATTGGGATACGATGATAGTGAGTCTGACCACCCGATCCCGTTAGTCGAGTCTTACGACAAGCATGGGTTACTGAAGACCAATTCTAATCCAGATCTTCACTGGTTGAAGCTCCCGTGTATGATCATTTTAAAAAAAACCCCGAATGAATAGTTCTGGTATCTGAAACCATTTCAAATATTCTGATCTGAAGACCGCTGTTGCTGATGTCTTCTGGAAAGGGTGTGACGACGTTCAAGACGAAGTTGGCAAGGATATATAATACACTCTTCAAAAAGAAACGCATAGGAGATAATGCGAATGTTGATATAGATATAAATGCAATAGTTTGATTGAACGATGTTGGTCACATGTTCGTTAACTTGACTTTTGTGGTGTGATTTGGTGTGGTGTGGCATCGCGTGGCGTTTCGTGGCGTAGCTTGGCGTGGTGTGGCTTGGCGTGGTGTGGCGTGGCGTGGCACGGTGTAGTGAACAAATGCAACCATTTTAATTTTGTTGTATCTTTATGCCGCAGTTTTGTTTCAGACGGAATGTCATTGAAAGGAAACTGAAGGTAGATGTTCAGTGACCAGAAATATGCAAGGTCAAACGTCAGTCAACATTCTGTCCGACGTTTGTCGCCTATTTGGAAGATTTAAATACCCATACTGAATACTGCCAACTCAATATCGCCACAGGACGTCTTGAAGCGGTCTTCAGTTGTACGTCATTTCAATGTCCACCAAAGCGCCATATCTCGTTTACTGAATTGTCATAGCCGCCTCAATTTAACCCGATATCGTCCGAGAGTGAGTGAGTGAGTTTAGTTGCACGCCACGCTCAGCAACATTCCAGTTATATGGCGGCGGTCTGTAAATAATCGAGTCTGGACCAGACAATCCAGTGATCAACAGCGTGAGCATCGATCTATGCAACTGGGAAACAATGACACGTTTCAACCAAGTTGATCCCGTTAGTCGTCTCTTACAAAAAGCATGGGTTGTATGAAGACCAATTCTAACCCGGATCTTCACGTGTCGACATCACGTGTATTGGTGCAGGACTAACAAAGCAAAAAGGTCAGCGAGTCTGACCACCCGATCCCGTTAGTCACCTCTTACGGCAAGCATGGGTTGGTGAAGATCAATTCTATCCCGGATCTTCACGGTTCCGAGAATTGGAACACCAAGCGTTCCTGTACAAGGTCTTTCACCTGCGTTATCGACATATTACTGGCACCGAGACTACAGGACATATGCCTGGCTACAGGAGTGTATCGGACCAAACAATCACGAATCATCTTCAAGCGGTGGAAATTAGATCCCAAAGATGCATTTGTCAATGTACTGAGACGTTTTCATCAACGACAACGTATGATTTACATATGTAACGAAACCACACAGGCATGGAATCTGACAATGTGAGTGAGTTGGGCTTTACGCCGTTTTTAGCAATATTCCAGCAACATCACGGCGGGGAACACCGGAAATGGGCTTCACACATTGTAACCATGTGGGAGATCGAACCCGTGACGAGCGAACGCTTTAACCACAAGGCTACCCCACCGCCCCATGTAGAGAAGTGATGACAACACACGGTCAAACCAGGTGCTGACTGGAACTGCCCCTCCGTGGACTTACGCGTCTTTAGACAGAACAGTCATTATTGCCATTTTGTGTCCATAATATCTGCCTTTCACCATGTTAGGTGTCATCCTCGTGTTCATAATATTAAATAAAATATGCACATTGTTTAAACTCAGTAATCTTTTCAGAGCCTATGCGTTTCTTTTTGTAAATAGTGTAATATGACCTTTCGTGCCATATTAAGTCATGTATGAAATGAGGCCAGCGTCGCTCTGTAATCTGGCTTACTGTTATATTTGAATATATCATAAAAATATAATTTGGCCTCTGATTGTCCTGAATAAATCAAATTAAGTCAAACGTCATGTAATAAAAATATTTATTTATTTTTGAAAAAGCATTCTCATTTCAAATAACAGAAACAAGCTTCGTGAAAATCTCAAGAATCATGAGTTCACATAGTTTTAGCCCAGTATCTGCAATTAAAATTAGAAGTAAAACAATTAAGCTACTCACCGGTCATTAATGTTATTATACAGAATTGCATCTTACAATCTGACAACATTAATTGAGTTGGGAACCACACGGGTAGCGAGAATTATCGCCCTTCGAGATATCAATAATTATTAATGATATCTGTATAAAATTACAAGATGTCATTAAGCACATTACTTATTTATATCTGTAAATCACATTCTTAGATCGTTAATCTATTCTACGATATCAGCAATTCTTTTCAAGATATCATTAATATGCTTCAGATACATGAATTTCATTGCTGATATTTATGATTATCTCTATTCGAGATATCTTGAATTTTTACAAGATATCTTCAATTCAAGATATCTCTAATTAAATTCATCTTTAAAGCAATTGAAGATATCAGTAATTTAGAAATAAATGTGGAAACGGCTTGCCAAACGGGTTGCTGAATACACTAATGTCTGTGATATCTTCCTCTGTACCAGGGGTTCCGTAGACATCTTCTGCCGTGTCGATAGTATGCGTTAGGACAGTGGCTCAAACACACGCCGTCCAGTTCAAAATCCTTGCACGTCTGGGAGAAACAAAAGGAACATGAAACTAATGCATATCAATTTCACTGGAAAACAAGAAGACATGATCATCAATATCCCCCGCCACAGTGTTCTGGTCCTATTTTGACAACTATCCATTCTTCCTACAAATAACGATACATAAGCTGTTAAGTAAGAAAATCAGTTCGCATTGGGGATAACGTGCACTAAGTCAAGAAACGCATGACAAGGACCATAACTCTGTAAAGAATCGTAACACGGTGTCTGTTTTCGAACTCCATCAAGGCATTTGTGTCCTGAAAATACATACCACGTTTGGTTATCACTATATATAACGGTTTTTGAGAAAATCTGCCCCCGTTGGGGATTATGTGCACTAAGTGAAGAAACGCATGACAAGGGCCATAACTCTGTAACAAATTGTAACCTTTTTTTTTTCGAACTACATCAAGGCATTCATGTCCTGAAAACACAGACCAAATTTGGTTTCCCTATCCAGTGACCGAAATTACGGCCTGCCCGCTTGCCCGATATTTTACATACCCCCTTTTGGAAGCTTCGTATGTATAACACGCGAGAAGATATATTTGAGGTGGGTATCGCTCTAAACTTTCGCTATTAAAATGTTTCAGAAAATATATCATTTTGATGATGTAAACCGATAATGGAATTACGAGTTTAACAGGCTCTTTTCAAATGTCACAGGCTGGGGATGTGACTGAGTATTTAATTTCATGCTTGTGGTTTTTTAATTTGCTGAATTAATTCACATTTGAAACAATGATACTTGTTTGGTTTTGTAGAAAAATGCAATTTATTAGTCAAAAGTGCGGGCAGGCAACTTTCAAGACAGGCAGGCAACATTTATTGGTCACCTGCCCGACTGTCTGGTTGAGTTTGAAAATATTTCGATCACTGTCCCTATCTATAGCGTTTTTTAGAGAAAATCTGCCCCATCATCTCGGACGGACGGAGCTCAAACCTACATCCCTCTCCCACTTCGAGGCGGGGGATAATACACCTTCTTTTCTTTAATTTTAATTCACTGGTTCGTTCACTAGATTCCAGAAGCAAATTACTTTATAACGGTTCTGTGGTTCCTTCGAGTAACAAAATTACTTTCTACTGGATTGGTCACAGTTTCACAGGAACACAACACTCATACTGGTTCTGTGACAGGTTTGGGTAACCGTTTCTCTGTTCTGGTTCTGTGACAGGTTTGGGTAACCGTTTCTCTGTTCTGGTTCTGTGACAGCTTTGGGTAACCGTTTCTGTTTTTGTGACTGTTTCTCGAAACGTGCTACTTTGTGGTAGCTCTCAGACTGTCATGATTCCGACAAAGACAGTACTTTTTACTGGTTCTGTGACTGTTACTGAGTAACGTTTTACTGGGTCGGTCACAGATTCCGAGACACGTGAAGATCCGGGTTAGAATTGGTCTTAAGTACCCCACGCTTGTCGTAAGAGGCGACTAACGGGATCGGGTGGTCAGGCTCGCTGACGTGGTTGACACATATTATCGTATCCCTATTGCGTTGTTCGATGCTCATGATGTTGATTGTCTGGTCGACATTCGATTATTTACAGACCGCCGCCAGAACAGCTGGAATATTGCTGAGTGCGGCGTTAAACAACAAACAAACCAAAACCGAGATTCTGAGAAATACATTGCTATATACTGGTTCCCAGACTGCTACGCGAAGGTTTCACTCTTGGTTCTGTGACAATGAAAATGTCTCTATTTCTTGGTTCTGTGACATTGAAAATGCCTCTATATATTGGTTCTGTGACAATGAAATGACTCTATATATTGGTTCTGTGACATGAAAATGCCTCTATTTCTTGGTTCTGTGACATTGAAAATGCCTCTATTTCTTGGTTCTGTGACACTGAAAATGTCTTTATTTCTTGGTTCTTTGACAATGAAAATACCTCTATATACTGGTTCAGTGACCAATGACATCCCCAGCGTCTTACCTCACACTGGGTGGGAGATGGTCCCCAGCACCCCCCGGCGCACTGATGGTGACAGCATCCAGCTCCGTACCAGAAGCATCTCTGAGGGCAGCGAGAGGGACACACATCTACAAACACAACAGTTTTGTGAACGTCAAACTATCAGATACTGTGATTCTTCGTGTTACAAGATCTATAGCCGATGCGTATATGGATAGGTTCAAAGAAAAGATTAAAATTGATACTATGGCAAGAATGGAACCTAGATTGGAGACAAGAACCCCTTAAACTGCTTGGAATTAAGGTTTCTTTGGATTTGAATGAAATGATCGACATTAATTATGAAAGCAAAGTTAGACAATGTGAAACATTAATGGCAATATGGTCAGCTCGTAATTTAACTCCAATGGGTAAAAAGACCATTCTTAAATCACTGATACTTCCAAAACTTAATCATCTGTTTTCCTCACTTCCAAACCCACCTGACATTGTTATTGACAAATTTCAAGGAAATGTTTTAACTTCATGTGGAGTAATAAACCTGACAAGATCAAACTATCTCAAATCATTTGTGATACAGCAGATAGGCGAATAAAATGCCTCAAAATAGGAGAGACTATATACCCAAAAAAATGAGCTATGTTAAGACGCGCCTTTACTTCCAAGGTTAAGTGGAAACACCTGTTCTTTGTACATACCCCTTGTGTCAAGAACCATAGTGTTTATGAAATCACGAGTAAACAACAAAACGCACGTCTCTTTTCCAACAAAGATCTAATACACAATTGGTGGTTGTTTATAGAGGGTTTGAACAGAGCTAGTGCAACTAACACTGATATCATGTCTCAATCAGTTTGGCTTAATGATAACATACAGGTGGGATATAAAACAATCTTTATAGAAAAATAGTATAAATAGGTGTAAGATACATAAACATTTTATTGACGAAAAGGGACTCCTTTCACTCCTAATAATGGTTCATTTATATAGCGCCAAACTCCACACCAGGTGTGCTCATAGAGCTAACAATCAATAAGGCATTATTGAAGTCCATAGACCTTTTTTGTAGAGAAGGGTTGACGACAGCTTAAGTTCATCAGGTAGAGAATTCCAGTTGACCGATGCCATGTTCTGGTAAGACTTGTAGCCAAATGATTTGAGGTTCCACTTTGGTACACAGAGCAGATTAGACGAGGATGAACGCAGAGTTCTTGTTGGCATGTAAGGAGACAGGAGTTCTTGAAGATACGCAGGTGCAATACCATGAGTGGACTGATAAGCAAGTGTAAGGATCTTATAGTCAATGCGAGTTTCAATAGGCAGCCAGTGAAGAGACATCAGGATGAGAGTGATGCGGCAATGTTTAGGTTGGAGAGTAACTATGCGGGCAGCTGTGTTCTGGATTCGTTGAAGCTTTTTGATGGACTCTTGTGAAGCTGCAACCAACAAGCTGTTGCAAATAGTCAAGTCGTGAGAGAATCAGTGTTCTCACCAGGGCAGCCGCAGCATCCTGTGTCAGGAGATGTCTGATCTGTCCAATGTTGTGCAGATGGAAGTAACATTTTCTGCATACATACGCAATCTGGTTCTTCATGGTGAGGTCAGATTGCAGTAGGACGCCAAGATGTCTGACATATGAAGAAGGCTGAATGAATTTGGTATACAAAGAGAACAATACAAGACCGAGAACCGATCCATGTGGTACACCACAAAGAAGCATAGCTTCCTCGGACTAAGCATTATGAACAGCAACAGATTGAGTCCTGTTTGATAAGTAGGTCCTAAACCATAGAAGAGCCGTATCATTTAATCCGTACTGTAACTGAAGTCTTGATAGAAGTGTCTGGTGATCCACCGTATGAGTTCCCCCTGTCAACGCTCCACTGCAAATTATTAACAACACGGAGCAGAGCTGTTTCCGTGGTGTGGAATGACCTATAGGCAGACTGGAATTTGTGATAGAGGTCATGTTTACTCAAGTGCTGTCTAAGTTGCACCTTCACAACTCTTTCAAGTACCTTGGAGAAGAATCGTGGTGGTGGTGGAATTGGGTTTAACGTCGTGCTTGAGAATATTTGCTCATATGACGACGTGCATGCGTGTGTATGTGTATGTGCGGCTGCTTGTACTAGCCCAGACTTAAGCTGGTTTTATAGTGCTAGCCCACTGAGATACCATGCCGCAGTGAAGCATGAATATCCCACTCAGACACATTATACTGACTCCGAGCCGACCAGTCCTTGTTGTACCCATTAATGCCGAGCGCCAGGCAGGAACCAACAAGTACCATATTTTAACGTCTGTTTGTATGACGCGGTCGGGGATTGAACCCGCGACCTTCCGCACTCCGGGCGGACGCTCTAACCACTACACCACGGAGGCGGTCGGAGAAGAATGGAAGGTTAGACACCGGCCTATAGTTAATGAAACAGGTCGAGTCTAAGCCAGGTTTTTCAGCAAAGGCTTCACAATTGCATGCTTGAAACAACCAGGAACAGTCCCACATTTCAAGCTAAAGTTGACAATCTGAGTTAACACAGAAAGTAAGATGTCAAAATATTTCAAGACATATTTAGTAGTGGCTAGATCAAGAACACACGTTGAGCCCTTTGCTTGTCTGATGATGCAGCGAACCTGTTCCCCAGTGAGCAGGTCGAAGGAATACAAAATCTCATCTTGAAAGAGTGCACCAGTTACAGCAATTGATTCAGGAGAAAATTCGTGTCTAATCTTCTCAATCTTAGAAGAAAAAAAACTTGCCAAAGTCATTTGCAAGGGTAAAATCATCTTCCACATTAGGTAGAGTAGTGTTTGATGTCTTTCCAAGTAAGGAAAATAGATGAGTAAAGGAACCTTTGGGATTATGCTGATTGGATAATACACCATCATTGTAAAGTCTTGACTTTGTATCACGAATCAGTTGGTTTAATTCATTACGAGCCATGTTGTACAACTGCCGATAAATATCAAGCCTGGTTTTTCTCCACTTGGGTTCTGCTCTGCGCCTATGGGTTTTAGCGAGAAGTATCTGATCATTGTACCACTGTGGTTCATGCCTGAGTCGCCTGTGGGTTTTAGCGAGAAGTATCTGATTATTGCACCACTGTGGTTCATGCCTGAGTCGCCTGTGGGTTTTAGCGAGAAGTATCTGATCATTGTACCACTGCGGTTCATGCCTGAGTCGCCTGTGGGTTTTAGAGAGAAGTATCTGATCATTGTACCACTGTGGTTCATGCCTGAGTCGCCTGTGGGTTTTAGCGAGAAGTATCTGATCATTGTACCACTGTGGTTCATGCCTGAGTCGCCTGTGGGTTTTAGCGAGAAGTATCTGATCATTGTACCACTGTGGTTCATGCCTGAGTCGCCTGTGGGTTTTAGCGAGAAGTATCTGATCATTGTACCACTGCGGTTCATGCCTGAGTCGCCTGTGGGTTTCAGAGAGAAGTATCTGATCATTGTACCACTGTGGTTCATGCCTGAGTCGCCTGAATCTTGTGACACAAGGGACATGAGAATCCAAGAGTTGAACCAGTGTTGTGCTATAGAGATCAGCAAGTGAATTCACATCCTATGGAGGCTCTGTGAGCAACTGTGAAGACTGAAGATGCGAAGCAAAGTCATCACGGGAAACAAGCCTACGGTTTCTACACTGAACATCAACAGGTTTCTCAGCTGGTTTGAGAAAATTGAGTTCTACAACAATCCAAAAGTGATCAGATGATTGTCTATCTTCAACAAGGATGTTTTGCACCACATCTTCTTTATGCCGAGCAACTATCCAATCAAGTATGTGACCGTTCCTGTGAGTAGGTTAAAAACAAGCTGGGTAAGACCATGTGACTCCAGCAGCTTGACACATTTCTTGGTTTACATGCACAGTCATAATGAATGTTAAAATCACCCGTCAATAGCAAGTTTCCATTTTTCAAAGTGATTTTATCCAGTAGTTTTGAAAAATCATCATAAAACTGGCCAAAGGAAGACTTGTTTGCCTTTGATGGCGGTGACCTATATAGGCAGAACAAGCGTAGTGCTTGACTAGTTACTGTTAATAATGTTTCCATCATTTCAAAAGAAGAAAATTAATATGTGGAAGTTCTATATACTACCAAGTTCAAGAGTGTTTTATAAATAACAGCCAAACCTCCTCCAGAAGAATGTTCGCGTGGAACATGTTGAAAAGAGTATGCAGAAGAAGTCATTTCCTTAATCTTAGTCCTATAGAGACTTTTGTGAGCTAAACTCCAAACTACAAAGATTATTTAGGCATTATACAATCTATTAAACACTACTGTAGACCTGAAACAAAATATGCTAAAAAATGAACACAATTGCATACCCTTTACTACCATTTCACATTGCTCATTTATTGAAACTCAGACAGGGTCATAATTTTTTGACAAACATTCATACAAATCAGTGTAAAAGCCAAAATTTCGCGAAATGGGAAAATATAATATCCCATGATATCAACGACAGAGAACACACAAGCTATAATTTATTAGTGTTTCAATGCACAGATTCTACCACGTTTCAATGGTTCCAGCATCAGATTTTGCATAATATCTTACCCACAAATTCTCGCCTTTATAAAATGGGAAGCCTTGAAAGCGATTTATGCAGCTATTGTTCTACAGAAAGGGAATCTATATTCCATTTGTTCTGGGAATGCCATTATATGGCATTCGGTGTGGAATGATTTGAAAACTTGGCTGCTATCAGAAGTTAAGATTATAAATCTATCAAAACAAATTGTTTTCCTTGGCTATACCCAAAGAAATAATAACCCACTTAACATCATCACATTAATAACAAAACATATATATTAACCAGAAGATCACAAAAAGAAAGTGCCAGAAAAAAAAGAAACCCAAAGGGAGCTAACCCAAAACTAACTAATTATGCAGCCTCCATAAATTCAAATATCGACATGTTTTATAAGTACTGGTCAAGTTCCCATTTACTTTTTTGTTAGTTATTAAGAATTGTAATGCGTATGCGCTACTGCAAATAATGCAACAAATGTTTTTAACAAAATATAAAAAAGAATTAATAAAAACAGATTAAAATTTAAAAAATTACCAAAGACCCCATAAAGGAAACATCCTCACAAACTGATCATGGTCGGCACACTGCACAATGATGCAGGTATACTGTCTGTCTGACGGTCACAATTACATGTTCACCATCCCTGGTAACACGCACGTAACAGTACAGCGATGAATGTGTAAATGTCAAAAGTTGAAGATATCACAATACAGAGCAATGATCATATATTACATGATACTGTCATGTCACGAAATAACTACGTATCAAATGTCAAAATGATACACGCGAAAATGTATGGACTTTTTTAATAAATATTACTGCCGTGTGATGTGTCAGATCTGAATCCCGTGAAAGTACGTGTTAGATACAATATTGCACACTTCTCTTACATTCGACTTCATTTTAATCATTATCGCACTTAACTGTACAACAAATCAATATATAGTTTGGCAAAAGATAAGCATGATGAATATTTCCAATCCGGCCAATAAATACTCGAAACCACGAAAAGAATGATCCGAGTAACGAGAAAGAATAGACGTTTCGAAAAAATAAGGGAAAGAAAAGAAAGTCAAGAAATATATAAGTAGAAATTTCTGGTTTTAAACGAAAGAAAGCAGGTGAAAAAAGAAATAACTAGGAAACAAACGAATCCATCAAATAATGAAAAATATAATAACGAGAAATTTCGTTTTAGAAAAAAAGCACAAATTTATACTAGCAAAGTGGTACTATAGCACATCCGTATGTCACAATCTATTCTATCCCTTACCATAATGCCGGGCGACGGGAGGTTCATGCTGAAAGGTGACAGTCCCGGGATGCCTGCTTTCCCTGCCTCGGACTATCTGGTCCCAGTCTCTTGTTATCTCTACCCGAATGTCCGGTAGGTTTAGAAAAAAGATAACCTTTCCGTTTGTGATCTCTGTGAAGTAAGACGTTTTCTGAGCACAGTGTGTCATTGTCATTACAGTGAGTGAGTATGTTTTTTGGCCGCTTTTAGTAATATTCCAGCAATATGACGGCGTGGTACACCAGAAACGGGCTTCACACATGGTACCAATGTGGGAATCGAATCCGGGTCTTGAGCGGGACGAAAGGACGCTTTAAACATTAACCGCTCCTTCTCTTTACACCTCGGAGGAAAGGTTCGTCCAAACTCGATTTTTTACCGATCGCCTTCATATAGCTATAATAATACTGGGTGCATCGTAATGCAATACACGAAAGTTTACAAAATGTAGGCTTAATGTTCTGCAAACACATTAGTCTGTCATACAGACCCTGAAACAAATTTATCCAAGAAAGCCCATGAGAGTCTAGAATATGTGGCAAGTCTACATGTACACATAAAACACTCAAAAGCTACCCGTGCCTGCCGTAAGAGTGAGTGGTGAGTTTAGGCTTACGCCGCTTTTAGCAATATTCCAGCAATATCACGGCGGGGGACACCAGAAATGGGTTTCACACATTGTACCCATGTGGGGAATGGAGCCCGGGTTTCGTCGTGACGAGCGAACCACAACCACAAGGCTACCCTCACGCACTAATTATAGAAAGATAGAAGCTTCACACTGGAATTGTGATCATGTGAACATCCATGAAGAGACCTGACCCATCCTTGCCGTTGTGCAGCTGTAACTATTAGCCCACCCCATCATGTGACACCTTCACTGACCCGTGAGGCGATGGGTTAGTCCAGCGGTTAAAGCGTCCGCTCGTCACGCAGAAAGCTCGGGTTCGAGTCCCCACGTAGGTACAATGTGTGAAGCCTATTTCTGGTGTCCCCCGCCGTGATATTGCTGGAATATTACTAAAAGCGGGGTAAAGCTAAACTCACTGGCACGTACAACGCGACTGTGCCGCGAATACATTGGCGTCATATTTCAGTGTCATAGCATAGGACGAAACATTGCTTGAACGTCACGCCTTATTACTGTTTCAAGAACCCTACAGGAAGCTTCCATTTACCTTTCAACCGGGGAATTCGTACTGCCGTAAAGTTAGTAAGCAGCACAGCCAGCCCATAGTGGTCGCCATGAAACGTGAATGTCGAGTTTCCCCTGATCACTTCTAGTCTCGGCAGGTTCAGCTCAAAGTGTCCATCCGCACGCGCGATCAGTACGTAACCTCGGACGTACCGTATGTTACGCAGGAAGTTAAGGTCGTAGTTGATGTTGTCGTCGGTAAGCCACGTAATGATGAGGTTGCCGTCCACGTAGGTACAGTTGGTGTATGTCTGTATCATATCCCTGTACCACCAGCTCGGAGAGCCAGATGTAGACAGCTGCATGGATGATCGTCCCCCAGAACACACTGCAAGGAGTAGTATAGTAATGGGTGAGTTTGTTTTATTACCCCTACGGGTGAGGAGATCCCGAGTAATATCTTTTTGATATTTGCACAGTGTGCAATTTAGTGATTCTCGACGTTGATTGGTTGATCGTATATTTGTACATTTTCATTGGATGCCGGAACTACTTTCACACACTACGTTCATTCATAAAGTTTCATCGATTCATTGATAAATTGACCGTGATGTAATCGCACTTATTCGAGATTTAAAAACAGAACAAAAACAACATACAGATTTTGATGCTAATTTAATGTTTTATTTCATACTTCATTAACAATACAGCGTCGTCTACTTAACATGTTTTGTAATAAAAAAATGTCTAAAATTGATATTCATAAAGTCGTCTTTGTAAACAAACATGGCTACCCAGTTAACGCCAATCAAAGTCAATGACCTGGTCAAGGTGGACGGAGACATTACAGGACGTGTAACAAGAATAACACAACCGCTAAATTCCTTGAGAAATGGAAGTTGCAAGGTACAGACTGAAAGTGTTGCCGGAAACAATCTCGAGCGAGTCGGCTTCTCACCAAAGTCCCCACCTGCCCCAGAGTGTCATAAATGACTTGCTACAAGATGATTTTTTTCCCCCCAATCGAAAACAAACTTTTGACAGGTTTGTTCCTGTTTATGACCATGACGTTGATAACTTCTTGGCTGCGAACAAAAATGAAAACACAATGAAAAAGACAAAATTGGACATGAATCTTGTTTATAGATTTCTTCGCGAGAGTCTTAATGATCCAAGACAACTTGAAGACATTGCCCCCCATGAACTGAACACTATCCTATGTAAAGTTTTCATATCGGCAAGAAAATTTGATGGTTCGGAGTATGAACCGTCTTCCCTCCGGGGAATAAAGGGTAGCGTTGAACGCTATTTGAAGCGTAATGGGTAGTCACATGTGTTAGCCGAGTCAATGCATTTAATGAAACTGAGGGAGGTTTTGAAATCAAAACTCAAGTCATCAAAAAAACAAGGTAAAGGAAACCTACCATTCCGTGCTGATCCTGTATCCGACACTGAATTATAGAAACTCCGTGAATGTGGCCAACTAGGCACCAGCACGCCAGATTCCATTTTAAACACATTATGGTGGAACAACACGGTTTATTTTGGCTTGAGATCGGCGACCCCGCACAGGCGTATGCAATGGGGTGATGTAACACTAAAAGTTGATTCACAGAACCGAGAATATCTCCAGTATATTGAACGGCAGTCAAAAACCCGTCAGGGTGACCAGTCTCGTGATCTTGCTCCTAAAGCATGGGCACAACCTGGGGATCTGTGTTGTCCAGTCGCTGTTTACAAGTCGTACCGTGCCTTGAGACCACAAAACTTCTCCAATGATGATCATCCATTCTATTTGGCAACAAACACCCAGTTTGGGGTACGAACCGGGAATACTTGGTTTAAACGTCAACCGGTTGGCAGAAATAAACTGGGATCACTGATGAAAACAATGGCAAGTAAAGCAGGGCTTTCTAATTACAAACGGTTGACAAACCATAGCGCCAGGAAACGCATGATTCAAACTTTGTCTGACAAAGGTGTTCCAGCTCACCAGATCATGCAAGTGTCAGGGCACAAAAACGTTCAATCCATCAACAGTTATTCCACAATGAATGAGAAACAACACCAAAACATCAACAGACTTCTGTCGTCCAACTGTGATTCCACACCACGTGACACAGGCCTGTTTCTCCATTGCCTACAAAATGCACCAAAGCCTCAGTCGAATCAGTCCTAATCAGTCATGTCCCAGATGAATTAAGTTTCCCATGATATCCATGCTGTTCTACTCTTTTTTCTGTTCCAATTTACGGTGGAGTATTCAACTTCACTATTTCAAATGATTCTTCTTTCAACCAACCACCTGCACCGAAACGGCGTATTTTGCCTGTTGTCGACTCGGACTCGGACTAAAGTTGGAGTTATCGTTCCTGTCAAGGACACTGACGCGAGCCAAAACTAGGTCAAAGTCAAAATGTTGACAAACGTTAATAATTGTGAACCGTCTTCTTAGAAAAAAGTTCACCATTCCTGCGTTTTATTCTTCTATTGCAGATTTTCACTGTTGTATCAGTTAACGTTGAAAAAAATTGACAGGTTTTTGCTGTTTTGTATCCAACCACAGCCACCCACTTTCTGTCACGAGTTGATCTAGGCTACACATTTGCGATCTACGACTAACTATTAAATATGCGAGTGTACTCGTTAAAAATAAACTTAATGTTTACAGGGGGGTGTGGGTAATAGAATCGTCATGAAACGAATTTGGAAACTGATGAATTGTGTTGTTTTTCATACCGTTTTCTACAGTACTATATTGGGGTTCGTATGCGATTCCATTAGGCGTGAGCCGTTTGGTTTCCTCTGCGCATTAATACGGATCAGCTGATTACGTTGTAAACACATAACGAGGTGCGGCTTTGAGTTCATAAGTACTGGTTTCTCGGTTTAATTACAGAATGGGTAATAAAAAAATAACCCACGAGGTACGAGTGATTACGGGAAATATGTCCCTCGTGAAATTAATGTTCAAGTCCCTCGATAACTAGCCCGAGCTTTACGAGAGGAACATTAATTTCACGAGGGACATATTTCCCGTAATCACTCGTACCTCGTGGGTTATTCTCTAATTATTTAATAATAATAATAATAGTATACACAAAGGCAAACGTTACTGTGATTGACCTGAAGTTATATACATATGTGATTTAACAACTGATATTTTTATGATCAGACTTTTTTAATATTCCAAGAAAATAATCCCACAACAGGATTGCAAATGGAACATGGGGCGCGGTGGGCAAGCTGGCTAAGGTGCCAGGCTAGTGATCCACCGAGGTTGAGGTGTCGGGATCGAGCCCACCTGTGACCAGGTGTAAAAACCTTGGAGTCAACTGTGTGTGCAGACTCTTTCAGTGTTGTCACAACCCCTAGTGTACAGTACACAACCCTGTGCACTTAAAGAACCCACGAATTCGTTGGTATATGACCAAATGGTGGCCACATGAATACGTGCAAACACCTAGTTGAGGGTACAGCAACGTGCAGTGAACTTGGACAAACTACTGTGACTATGTGTCCCAGTCCACCCAGCTGTGAATGGGTATATCGTTAGGATGAGAAAGCCACAATAACCCGATGCGCCTAGTGGTTGCAAGAGTTGTATACTCCCCAGGGAGTTGAGATTGATAATAAGATGTGCCGTTGAGATTGACATCCAGTGATCGAGGAAATACTACCAGCGCCTTGAGCATGCACTAGTTGCCTGGATATGTGCGCTATATAAATATTCTATAATAATAATTTTAAACTTTTCTGGCGGACACATGCTAATGAGGTCACAGTGAGAGAACGGTCAAAATGAAATTCACACAGAAAATAACGTGTATGTCCACCATGAGCATTGATGCATTGACGTTGATTACGTCTCCAATGGCTCGCCATCTTTCATGTTCAGTTAGCCGTGGCATAGAGAAATGCAAGCAGATTCTTCCAAATCGTCTAAACAATGATTTGGGTGACAATGATTAGAGGTTTAGAGCCATACTTTTAATGCCCTTTTCCCACAGACTTCTTGAAAGCACGAGAATATTAAAATGCGTCATACAAATTTTCTCATTTATACAAACAATTGTGCTGATCACACTTCTGATGGGTGAACATTTTGATCAAACTCACTTGCCTAGGGTGAGACCACATGTATCACGCGTGCTTCGTTGCGGGGCAGGACAGAAGTCCGAGAAACTTTCCGAAGTTAAGCTGCCAAACATGATCACCCATCGAATGAGTCTCCGTGACCAATGTTGCTTAACTTCAACTGATTGAGACCTGATCTCTATGCACAAGGCCACACACCACTTTTAGCAATATTCCAGCATTATCACGGCGAGAGACTCCAGAATTGGGCTTCACACATTGTTCCCATGTGGGGAATCGAACCTGGGTTTTCGGCGTGACGAGCGAACGCTTAACCACTAGGCTACATGTACTACACCGCCCCAGTATAGCAATGAACGGGTGTCAGCTAGTTTTGTACTGCGCTGCAAGCCGCAATATCACTGATCTATTATGGTGTCTTGTGTGTGAGAAAACTTTGGGGTCAATTACAACTCCAACGCATCACAACGTCGCAGCTCGATCGCCCTTCAGATAACAGCAAACAAACTAGGTCCACTTAAAAGCTTGCACAAAGCGATCTTGGCGTTTCGACGATCCCATAAGCTAATACTTTCACAAAAGGTACATACATTAAGAATACTTTGTCAGAGCTCACTCACTCACTCAGAGCTGCGGATAAGCTGTGTATTAGTTTAAACACACGCAATTAAATCACCATTACCCTATCAATTGTAAGTAGCTTGCTGTCATTCGCACGCTAAAGGTCAACACAATTCCATAACATCTCATTGAGGAACCAAGGTAGTTTGAATCTGTACTACCACTGAATTGTGCATTGCCAATTTGCGAACTGCTTTTGAAGTAAAATTTTACTTTTCATTATTTTGTATTGGTTTGTAAACATAGTTGATTTTTATAATACCATTGCCTATTTATAATATTTCTTTGTTGATTTCTTGGTAAAAGTGAAAAACGTTTGCTCGATAGTGGCAAAAATTGAACAAACACGAAATAGTTATTCGATGGTGATTTCTGGATAATATTTTGTTTTTGCCTATAACCTGCATGCACTTATAGTGTGTGTTTGGTTTAGTTTTACGCAGCTTTGAGCAATATTCCAACAATATCATGGCGGGAGACACCAGAAAATGGGCTTCACATATTGTACCCATGTGAGGAATCGAACCCGGGTTTCGGCGTGACGAGCAATCGCTTTAACCACTAGGCTACCCCAATGTTCCCTGCATGGTCGTATAGATGCATATACCAGGGGCGGTGGGGTAGCCTAGTGGTTAAAGCGATTGCTCGTCACGCCGAAGACCCACATGGATACATACTTATGTGTGAAGTCCATTTGTGGAGTCCATAAATGCGGCGTAAACAAAACTCACTCACTAGATGCTCATACCTGTATCATTCTCTGTGATGCCTGTGTCAGGGATGTCGTTCGATACCACCGCCACACCGTCAGCCGTCGTCGCAACCAATACCAACACCACCAATGTTAGAAGCATCATCGTGAGGTACTCAACTCCGCGAACACTGCAATGACGAAGAATACGTGCACACTCTATATACGTATTATCGTCGGCGACAGCAACCTTTTTATTTACCGTAATATCGTTTCTAGTTTGCAATTATCTAATTAACTGATAAGAACATCCGCTCCGAAATACCAACATCCGGCCTTATACACATTAGAAAATAGTTTTACATGCTCTTAAAAGGTTAACTGATTATATTGTGATGTGAAACGTGAGGGGAATTCATCTCTGAACGAATTATTGAGTTCATCACAATAAGATCATATGTAATTCGGTTATGAATATTTTATTGGCAAAGGAAATATGTTTAGAAGGTGAAATGGTATGTTTTAGGAGTGGAAACAGACATACCGTCACCAGAATGTCACGAGGTAATGGCAGCTTGTTGCAGTGATACATACCTAAAGGGAACCTTTGATTTTCATAATTCGGGGGCGTCACTGTTGGGGGTTATCATGTGTTGAGTGACTTACATTGAAAACCCCACGTTCCCTAACCCCGTCACCTCATGAAATCATTACATCCCATCGTACGGGCATGAGAAACATGGGTCAGACTGACTTGCTTGTGGGTGTGAAAACAGCACAGTTGTTCACGTGTTTTTGTATAGGGTCTGTAAGTCTCGTGAGGCGCTACTTCCGGTATTAAGCTGGTTCCCGGCTCCCTTCGCGCGCTCCAACTTGCGATATGCGAGATGGGGTCCAGCTTACTTCCGGTACCAGATTTCCGGTGACAAGTGTATATTCAAGAACCAGTTCTATGACTTTACTAGACCGGACCAAGTGTTCATTGTTTGTCACTGGGAGTACTAAGGTCTCGCGAAGTGCCGTGGCCTACTTACGGGCCCTATTGGGAGGTACCTGGAGTAACTATTTAATGTTTAGCGAGAGGAGGAGAGGAGAGAATAATTTTTATGATAATCAAGCCCCTGCTTTGCAGAAAACAAACTGAGCTTCCGTTTTTGGTGACAGCTGTCCACAGAATATTTTCATCAGAAAGAAAGTATTTACTGAACACCTGGCCATGTTGGAAATAATATTGAGTTCCTTAACATCAACACCCCCGAAAATTAAATGGCTGCTCCCTCACTGGTATAACGGATGTTATGATATGTCAAAGTGTCTTACTACGGGTTCGAATCCCAGATGGGACTCATCCCAAAATTGTACTATACTCTGTACTTTACAGAGAAAGTGTAATCCAATTTAACTTTGAAGATTTGGGTTCAAATTGATCTTCAATAACCCATGCTTGTCGTAAGAGGCGACTAACGGGGTCGGGTGGTCAGGCTCGCTGACTTGGTTGACGCATGACATTGTAACCCAATGACGTAAATCGATGCTTACGGTGTTGATCACTAGATTGTCTGGTCCAGACTCGAATATTTACGGACTGCAACCGTATAGCTGAAATATTGCTGAATCGCTATACAACAACCAAATCAAAGTGACGTTAAACTCCCCTGGAGATGACGTGTGATAAAAGTTAAAAGAGTGATCAACTGAATCATGTTATTTCATTCAACAGTCGTCAATGGTCCGGCTATATCACGGCCAGCTAGTGGTGGATACCATGAGGGATACGATCACACACTGGTGACCAGCAAATATTGTGAATAATCACCACATGTACATGATCGCTAAACAAAAGAAGAAACAAAAAAAACCAATAATTGGTCAAGTAATAGTTACAGTCCGTTACAGTCATGAATGTTTCCTTGAACGAAGTCGCCAGAGATACAGATAACTTTTAGGGTCATTGAGTTATGTACTCACTTTTGTTCATCTCAATTGGGTATCCTAATTTTGCATTGAGTAACCAAATAAATTGTACTCACCTCACTCAAACTCAGTTGGGTATTTTGCCATTTTCCATTAAATTTGAAAATATAGTAAAGTTTAAATGTTAATGTTCGATATTTATTTTTGATCTGTAATATGAGAAACGATAAGAAAGACTGCAAGTTGTCAAGATCATGTCCTGAAATAGAACCGCTCAGTATACTTCAGTTATTTTATCTATCCACCGGTACGCAAACTATAAATCTTTTTTTGACATTTTAGTGTGTACGCATGTAAGATCACATTTATTGAGTATTTACAAAAATTCAAGCATACTTGTACGCAATAGACTGAATAGAAATTGAGTTTTCACATAAATATTTGCTTAATTTACGCAGATACGCAGCTTATCTGTACCTCTGAAGCCGCTCTTGCGGACTCCTTCCCCACTCGCTGCAATGCGATGGCAAGCTGTGGAAGTGTCTGAGGCTTCTGTTGTGTTGGCGAACTCTTTGTCTATAGACGTGTGAATGTTCACCTTTTCACCATTGAAACTACATGAAATAATTGCTCATAACGCAATAAATTCTTCTAAAAATGGCTTTTCTTCTTTTGAACAGTGTATCATAAAAATATAATTTGGTGTCTGATTGTCCTGAAAGAAATTAAGTCAAACGTCATGTATTATCAAGCATTATTTATTTTTGAAAAAGCAACCATCATTCTCATTTCAAATAACATAAACAAGTTTCGTGAAAATCTCAAGAATAACTTGTTCACATAGTTTTAGTCAGTATCTGTATCAGTATTAAACAATTCAACTTCTCATCGGTCAATACTGTTATTATTATTATTGCGTCTTACAATTTGACAACAGTGAGTTTGAAACCTCACCGGAAGCGATAACCGTCGCGAGTTATCGCCCTTCAAGATATCAATAATTATTAATGAAATCTGTGTAAAAATACAAGCTGTCATTAAAGGAGAATCCGAGCGAAAATAAAACTTTTGATATATTGTAAAGGATATTCTAAAAGTCACCTTCCGTGATTAAAATTCAACAAAAAGTTTGTAAAATAGCAATAAAAACACAAAACGTACTCGTATTTCCGCCTTTTACGGAAACACCCGACAGTTAATGAGCAGAGGGGTTATCACGTGACATGACGTCATATGTGCCTGTTGCTGATGGCTGCCTCTTTTATTTTACCTCACAACTTAACAGTGTCCACGGATTCTGAAGCAGTAAAAGGTGTTCCTGATGTCATTTCTGAAATGGATGTTAGACCGTATCAATACGATCCGATTTTACATCTTGCAAGACAATCTTCCAATGAAGATGAAGAGGAAGAATCAAGCGAAACGGAGGCACCGCTTGTGGTCAAAATAAATTTAAAAATATACCATATCATTTAACAAGAATACTATTTGACAGCAACATGTGATACAGTTCCAACCAGAAAACCCACCCCTATAAGTATATGACCAGTCCCTAACAATTATATTTTTTACAATGTGATTGCAGTGTCAAATGGGTGACTGTTGGGTGTCTGGGATTTAAAAACACAATAATTATGCTTCAGACGGGGGAAAATAGAAATTATCTGCTACAAAAATTACACAGGAGCTTTTTTGTTGAAAAAAAAATTAGGATCCTAGTTCTCATTAATAACGTAGCAAGTCTCCACACAAAATCCCAGCATGGTCGAGCAGAGATAATATTCGCGACGCAGATAAGTTATTCCCTGAAAACTGGTGAATTATAAAATACTTGTCAGGACAATGTATGTTTCCCCAGTGTTTGGTTATGGAAATAATCATGGTACTCGGCCATAGTCTTAGAATGGCATCTTGTCAGCCAATGTGAACACAGAACAACTTTCACGGCACACATTACTGACAAATAGCGAGTCTGATGCCGACGTTCGTAATTGGACAAAATGGAAAACAATGAAAGCAACAATTACTTCATGATTTGCCGTTGTATTCGGCAATGTTTCGGGTAGTCTGCAGCATTTAGGGCTCCAAACCGAAAAGAACGTCATAGCGAAACATTTTCAAGCTCATGTGAAATTTCTTACTGATTTTGATAATATATATCTCATGGGTACCAGTGGAACTGCCCCATCTACAAAATGCCCCAGCAAATTTGGTCATTCATTTTAATTGGGTCAAATGTATTTAAAATGATTAAATATATGCCGTAAATGCATAGTTTTGTCAACTTTGATATTATGTTCTTCATATAAAAGTTATTTAGAAGTAATACTTCTGATAAATGTTCCATCAGTAAACTCATAACTATGTATGTACTTTTATATGAAGAACATAATATCAAAGTTGACAAAACTATGCATTTATGGCCTATATTTAATCATTTTAAATACATTGGGGCATTTTAACTACACCCCTTGGGCAATTTGACCAAAACTCCAGGGCAATTTGCAGCGGGGACAATTCGACTGGCAATCGTACTTGATTAAATTTATGTTAAAAATACCACTGACAGTAAGCTGTAACAGGGAATGATGGTAATTCTTCCTTCTTCAGCCTAGCTTTGGGATTTGTATACCCCATGTGTGCTTGTCTCTTTCATAAGCGTCCGACTCGGAATGATCGGAGCATTTCTCCTGCCTAAGTCTGTCTCTTTACTTGGAAAACGGAAGAAATAGTGGCTTTCCATTTTTCGATGATTCCGTGCATCCACAGGCAACAGAATACACCATCGTACAATTTACAAAAACGACAGAAATAACACGATTTGTATTATTGTTGCGCTTGGTCTTTGGCAATATGGCGGACTCCAGGCACATTTGACGTCACGAGCGGAAAGGTCACGTGGGTTCGAGCGAAATATGCATAATGGCCGAAGCTGAGATTTACAGAAACTGTTTTCGCGATTAAAACATAATTATACATAATTAACTGAAAATTTGGGAATATGTTTCTGATGACTTTATCTTTCACCCAGCAAATTGTTGCAATTCACTCGTATTCTCCTTTAAGTACATGAATTATTCCTATCTGTAAATCATATTCTTACATCATTAATCCATTCTACGATATCAGCCATTCTTTTCAAGATATCATAAATAAGCTTCATCAGATCCATGAATTCCATTGCAGATATCTATGATTACCTCTATTCGAGATATCTTAAATTCATACAGGATACGTTCAGTTCAGGATATCCCTAATTGAATGCAAGATAAATAAGGAAACGGCTGAGTACACTAATATCTGTGATGTCTGTGATATCTGTGATATCTGTGATGTCTCTGATGTCTGCCTCTGTACCAGGGTTCCGTGTACATCTTCTGCCATAGTATGCGTCATGAGGACAATGACTCAGACACCAGCCGTCCAGTTCGAAATCCTTGCACGTCTGGGAGAAACAAAAGGAAGACGAGTGAGTGAGTGAGTGAGTGAGTGAGTGAGTATAGTTTTACGCCACTCTCAGCAATATTCCAGTTATATGGCGGCGGCCTGTAAATAATCGAGCCTGGGCCAGACAATCCAGTGATCAACAGCATGAGCATCGATCTACGCAATTGGGATACGATGACATGTGTCAACTAAGTCAGCGAGCCTGACCACCCCATCCCGTTATTCGCCTCTTATGACAAGCACGGGTTATTGAAGATCAATTCTACACACAAACATAACCGAATCCAGATTCTGAGAAATACATTACATGCTTCACGAAGCGTTTCACCTTATACTGGATCCGTGACCACCTTGAACCACACAATACTTCTAATGCGTCTAATCTGTACTAGTTCTATAACAGCTAAAAGACATGATATTACTTCATATTGCTTCTGTGGCCATTTCCGACAAATGCCTTTTTATCTTGGTTCTGTGACAATGCCTATATGGAATGCCTACATAGAGTCGTAAGAAGGTCACGGGGCGAGACCTTACGTTGTTTAGTACTTCCGGTGACAGACAACGTTTTATACCTTTTCGAATGGTCTCGTGGTTGTCGTTTGACAGTAGGGAACCGATAATCCTTGCATGAATAACAAATTTCCGATCTAACCATCGCCAAGTTAAGACTGTCAACAGCTGTGACAGCCAAGCATGGTTGTAGACTTGTTCCGTTCTGGTAAAGTCATATTTGGCGGTCGCGCAATTTTGAACCAGAACTGTTTTTTGAATATACGCTTGTCACCGGAAATCTGGAAATCGACTTACATGCCCTATATATTGGTTCTGTGACCAGTGACATCCCCAGGGTCTTACCTCACACTGGTTGGGGGATGGTCCCCAGCACCCCCCGGCGCACTGATGGTGACAGCATCCCGCTCCGTACCAGTAGCATCTCTGAGGGCAGCGAGAGGGACACACATCTACAAACACGACAGTTTTGTGAACGTCAAACTATCAGATACTGTGATTCTTCGTGTTACAAGATCTATGACCGATGCTCCAAGATTTCTGTCGGATTGAGTTTTGAACGTTGCGATATAATTATGTCAATTGAATTTGTAAATGTTAATGAACGTATTTGTTGGTGACGACAGGACAGGTGTGCGCGTGCGTGTGCGTATGCGTGTTGGTGTGTGTGTTGATTGTATGCAAAGTATCCAAAACACTATTGTATATTCATTATTCATACACGTCAAGTATGATTGTAAGTACGAAACATCCTCTGGAATACATGTAACACTGAATAAAAAAACAACAGCATCATAACACTTGAAATGCAATAATAATATACTAGCCACATAAAGAAACTGTGCACACAGAAAATTCCTTCAGAATTGGAATACAACACAGAAAAGACGACGTGATGTAGACACTTTATAAGCTGAAGTATAGGGCCTCAACAACATGTCAAAAGAACATGAACAATATCCGTAACGATGACGTCAGAAGTTCAAAATTGAGTCGGGGGTCACACGTCGAAGTCACAAAGTCAATAAAAGGTATGACCATCATGCGCGTGTAGCACAGCAGTGCATCGACGACGCATAGAGGGTACCAAATTTTCCAAATGAAGGCCTGGGGAATGGTTTTGGACGTGGTAACTGCCGTCTGGAACCTGTGTCTGATATGAGTCACCCATCACTCCTGTCTTGGCGTCGTTACTCGGGGACGCCCAGAACGTGGGTGGTCGGCGACGTCATTACTGTTTCCCTAACGGCTGACCAATGCAGATATCGTGTTACGATGGCATTGGACATGTGCTGCCACCTGTTGTTGGCTCATGCCTGCTCGAACCATTCCAATGGCTTCATGACGTTGAGCACATGTTAATCTTGGCATGATGTGCATGTGACTTTTCATGTGAATTTGTGAACGTTTGAATGACCAAAGATCAAGCTTTCGACAGTGACATCAATTTCTGAGTTTCACATGTTGTGTGCAGCTGCACAGGCTGCGCGTGCAGTAACACATTGCAAGTCCATAGGCCACCATCAATGACGTCACGTCGCCTGGCACCTGCATGAGCGTTTGATTGTCTCCAATACTTGCTATGTTCACACCTTTATTTATGCATAAAGACGCTGGCTGCCTATCTTTATATTTTCTGTGTGCACAGTTTCTTTATGTGGCCAGTATACGTGCAGAACTTATTTTGCAAACCTTTATAAACTTCTGGCAAAAAGTTTTGCATTTTTGTGTTTTCCAGTAATTTACCCTATAATATTCATGCAGTACAAGGATTCATTTATTTTTACTGCATGTTTTACGGTAAAAAGCTGACAACAGGATTCCGATATTGTTCTTAAAAGTATGGGACGATGTTGCATTTGCTCAAATAATATATCAGATCAGAACAGTATTACTAGGGTAAAAATGAAAGAAAAAAAAAAAAAAAAAAAAATTCAAAAAAATTCACAAGATCCCACAAAGGAGACATCATCACAGACAGATCATGATCATCACACTACACAACGGTGAATGTTTGGTTGTTTGTTGTTTGACGCCGCACTCAGCAATATTCCCGCTATACGGCGGCGGTCTGTAAATAATCGAGCCTGGACCAGGCAATCCAGTGATAAACAGCATGAGCATCGACCTGCGCAATTGGGAACCGATGACATGTGTCAACAAAGTCAGCGAGCCTGACCACCCGATCCTCAAGTGGCCCGATCCCGTTACTCGCCTATTATTACAAGCATGGGTTGTTGAGGACCACTTATAATCCGTTCTTCACGGGTTAATGGTGTAGGTATACATGCTATTAGACCGTCACTATTACATTTTCACCATCCTGGTAACATGTTAATAATAGTACATCGATGCATGTGTAAATGTCAAAGGTTGAAGTCGTGACAGATATCACAATATTGAGCAATGACCGTATATTATGTGCTATTGTCATATATATATATATATATTCCCAATCACGGCTAATAAATAATAGAAACTACGTAAAGTCTGAACCGAGTAACGACAAAATATATCGAAGTTTCGTAAAAATAAACGAAAGAAAAAATAACTAGAAATTTTGGTGTAATCCCTCCATTATAATCATGCTCCAAGTTTCGAAAAACACACAAATGAAAAAAAAAAAATAAAAAAAGAAATAACTAGAAATTTCGCCAAAATAATGCTACCAAAGTGGTAACATAAGGCTTCAGTAATCTATTCTATCCCTTACCATAATGCCAGGCGACGGGAGGTTCATTCTCGATGGTGACAGTCCCGGGATGCCTGCTTTCCCTGCCTCCGACGATCTGGTCCCAGTCTCTTGTTATCTCTACCCGAATGTCCGGTAGGTTTTGAAGAAAGATAACCTTTCCGTTTGTAATCTCTGTGAAGTAAGACGATATCTCAACACGACGTCAGCAGCATTCTATCATTATAGCGTGTGAAGCCCATTTCTGATGTCTCCCAGCGTGATGTTGCTGGAATATTGCTAAAAGCGGCGTAAAAACATACTGACTCACTCACACACTAATTAAAATAGAAGGATGGAAGCTTCACACTGGAATTGTGATCTTGTGAACACCCATGAAGCGACCTGACCCATCCTTTCCATTGTATAGTTGTAACAGTCAGCCCATCCCGTAACTGTCAGACCACCCCATCATGTGACACCTTCACTGACCCATCCTTGCCGTTCTATGGCTGTAACAGTAAGCCCATCCCGTACCTATAAGCCCACCCCGTCACCTTCACTGACAACGCGACTGTGCCGCGGATACTGGGCGTCATATTTCAGTGTCATAGCGTAGGACGAAACGTAGCTTGAACATCACACCTTATTACTGTTTCAAGAACCCTACAGAAAGCTTCGATTTACCTTTCAACCGGGGAAGTCGTACTGCCGTAAAGTTAGTAAGCAGCACAGCCAGCCCATAGTGGTCGCCAACAAACGCAAATGTCGTGTTTCCCCTGATCACTTCCAGTCTCGGCAGGTTCAGCTCAAAGTGTCCATCAACAAGCGCGATCAGTACGTAACCTCGGACGTACCGTATGTTACGTAGGAAGTTTAGGTCGTAGGTGATGTTGTCGTCGCTAAGAAACGTGATGATGAGGTTGCCGTCCACGTAGGTACAGTTGGTGTATGTCTGTATCATATCCCTGTACCACCAGCTCGGAGAGCCAGATGTAGACAGCCCCATGGATGATCGTTGGCCGGAACACACTGCAAGGAGCGGTATAGTAATGGTTGAGTGTGCTTTATGTAATACTATTAATAAACATAAGGGCCTGATGATGTACGCCTCTCCGTGGTGGGCCTAGATAGGGGAATTTTATTCCCTCAACTAAACGTACATCACCCAGTTAGGGTGAATCCCCCGAAGCTCGTTTTTCCTGGGTTACAAACGGACAAGAAGAATTCGATCTTTCACTTCCGCAGCCCAGTCTCTCTCTTCTTCTTCCTCAGTTGCAGATTTTCCCGAAAATCCTGTTTTCATTTTGTTTAACTCTACTGATCAGGACATTTGCGATTTACATTTGGAAAAACGGTGGCCAATTAAACAACTAAACGTCTCTTTTCACCCAAATGAAATTGGAAAACCAGTTTCTAGTAAAACTTAATGAAACTAGAAGAAACATTTCCTGGATTGAGCTGTGCCTTAAAATAAGATCGTCAGGGAATCCAATGTCTAAAAGGCAAATGTCAATTTGGAGGAATTTAAAATTACAATACAAGACAACGAAAGAAAAGGGACTTCTCCAAATTGTCGATTCATTTAAGGCAAAATTGAAGGTTTGGACTCAAAGAAAAAGAAGAAAAATGGGAAAAGAAGAACACATTTCTAAACAAAATAACGTTTTTAGAAACAATGAAAAGCATTTTACACGCAACTCAAAACAACGGGTGATGGTGGAGATGATAAACAGCCTCCCATACATGCCAATGAAAGGTTCTGGAAATAGTTGTGGTCTGTACACGGCGACTGTAACCTTGAGGCACCATGGGCCCATGATTACAATCATGCAATGCATGAGAAAATAACTAAGTGGTTTGTCTGTTACATCTCACCAGATTGTCTGAAAAGTGTTATCAAAAAGTCCAAATCTAATACAGCTCCTGGGCCTGATGGTATTCGAAGCCGGTATTGGGACTGTTCCCCTGTGTCCAAACATCATTACTTCCCTGTTTCAATTCTCTCGTAGACTCAGGTGATGTTCCTCCATGGTTCTGCAAAGGTCGCACAATACTCCTTCCCCAAAAAGGAGACTTGACTGATCCCAAAATCTTCCGCCCTATCACACGTTTGAATACACAATATAAAATATTCACAGGGTGTTTGATAAACCTCATCTCATCTTACTGCTCTTCTGATGACATAATTCATAGACAGCAGAAGGGAGCGAGAAAGGGATGTTGGGGGTGCAAGGATCAACTTCTTGTACTAAATATGATTTTGGAAGAGGCTAAAACATATCACCGCAACCTCTCCAGTGCTGGATTGACTGGTCCTGGTCGGCTCAACTTTACATGTACTCACAAGAGCAGGTGCAGACTCGGAATCTATTCCAATCAGAAGGGGAATATTCCAGGGGAATTCCTTTTGTCCTTTGTTTTTTTGCTTGTCGTTAAATCCTTTGAGTTTTCTGTAAAGAGGGGGGTTACCATCCTGGGCCCCGTTCCTGAAAGCGATCGTAGCGCTAAGGTGATCGTAACTCCAATACTCTAAAATAGACTTACGACTGTCGTAGCGCTACGATCGCTTTGAGGAACGGGACCCTGGAGCCCCTTAGCACAAATCCCAAACACCGTTTACTCATGTCCTTTACATGCATGACATCGAGCTCCTTGTCAAAGGCGATACCAACTTGAAAGAACAGGTTCTCCTTGTCTGATGATATTGGCATGACATTTAAACTCAACAAATGTAATATTCTTCATTTGAAACATGGCAAGGTAACTAATGATGGACTGGTCAAGTTATAATGGGAAGGAGAGGGATGCAAGTTCGAGACAAGCTCTAGAATGCCCAGATTCAAGACACTTCGGGCCGAGTATAATAGTCGCTTAAAGAAAATTCGGAGCTCAGAGCTAAACGCTCGAAACAAGGTTAAACCCAACATGCCTTTGCTGTGCCAGTTCTTTCCTATTCCTTTGGAGTAGTTGTTTGGACAAAACAAGATATCCAGAGTCTTGACCGTCTGACCAGAAGGATCATGTCTGATAACAGAGCCCAACACCCTCGTTCCTCTCTCAATCGTTTATATATACCAATCAATTCTAGAGGTCGGGGTTTGATTAATGTGGAGGCTCTTCATGATAGAATTTTATTGTGTACTTTTGCACATATTTATTTATCGGATGATCCTCATGATGAAAACAAGGAATTCCACAGATATTTTAAGCGTGCCAAGGTTGTTGGACAAAATCTGAAATTTGACATTGATTTTGTTGATGTTGCAGAATTGATGGACTGTAAAACAAAACTCACTCACTAGATGCTCATACCTGTATCATTCTCTGTGATGCCCGTGTCAGGGATGTCGTTCGATACCACCGCCACACCGTCAGCCCTCGTCGTAAACAACGCCAACACCACCAATGTAAGAAGCATCATCGTGAGGTACTCTGCGAACACTGCAATGACGAAGAATACTTGCACACTCTATATACGTATTATCGTCGGCGACAGCACCCTTTTTATTCACTGTAATATCGTTTCGAGTTTGCAATTGTCTTATTAACTGATAAGAACATCCGCTCCGAAATACCAACATCCGGCCTTACACACATTAAAAATAGTTGTACATGCTCTTAAAAGGTTAACTGATTACATTTTGATGTGAAACGTGAGGGGAATTCTTCTCTGAACGAATTATTGATAACTTGCGATATGCGAGACGGGGCCCAGCTTACTTCCGGTACCAGATTTTCGGTGACAAGTGTATATTCAAGAACCAGTTCTGGTTCCAAATTGAGCGACCGCCAAATATGACTTTACTAGACCGGACGAAGTATACGTTGTTTGTCACTGGGAGTACTAAGGTCTCGCGAAGTGGCGTGACCTACTTACAGGCCCTATGGGGAGCTACCTGGAGTAACTATTTTATGTTCAGCGGTAGGAGAGGAGGACATTTTTTTTGATCATCAAGCCCATGCTTTTACAGAAAAATAACTGAGCTTCCTTTTGTTGGTGACAGCTGTCCACAGAATATTTTCATCAGAAAGAAAGTATTTACTGAACACCTGGCCATGTTGGAAATAATATTGAGTTCCTTAACATCAACACCCCCGAAAATTAAATGGTTGCTCCCTCACTGGTATAACGGATGTTATGATATGTCATAGTGTCTTACTACGGGTTCGAATCCCATATGGGACTCATCCCAAAATTGTACTATACTCTGTACTTTACAGAGAAAGTGTAATCCAATTTCATCTTGAAGACCCTGGTTAGAATTGGTCTTCAGCAACCCGTGCTTGACGTAAAAGGCGACTAACGGGATCGGGTGGTCAGGCTCGCTAACTTGGTTGACGCATGGCATTGTCACCCAATTGCATAAATCGATGCTCATGCTGCTGATCACTAGATTGTCTGGTCCATACTCGATTGCATACCGACCGCCAACGTATAGCTGGAATATTGCTGACTCGCTAAACAACAAGCAAATCAACGTGACGTTAAACTCCCCTGGAGATGACGTGTTACAAAGGTTAAAAGAGTGAGCAGCTAAAAGGAGGGTTATTTCATTCAACAGTCGGCAATGGTCCGGCTATATCATGACACACTGGTGGCAAGCTACTGGTGGTGGATAGCATGATAGCATGGGATACGATCACACACTGGTGACACACTGGTGGTGGATAGCATGAGGGATACGATCTCACACTGGTGACCAGGAAATACATTGAATAACCACCACATGTACATTATCGCTAAAACAAACAAACAACGAACAAACAAACATCACTACACCTACCACACGATGTACATCAATCAAGTAAATGTCAATGTTCTTTCATCTATAATGTTAAAACATCTACCATACAATCAGACAGTAATACCTACCTATACCAACACCCAGCAATGAGTGAGACGATGACGAACACAAATCTACTTACGTATTAGGGTGTCAAGGCAGGATTGCATGATCACGTGGGATCTTGACCGGTTTAATGAAATCTGGGGGTGGATATGCGTGCCGTGTGTTCTATTATGCACATTCATGACTCGTGCACAAATACGTGATTTGGTCACAGCCAGGTAAGTTAATATAACAGTCCCAGTTGCATAAAGGTTGGAACAAATGGCAATAGTTGGTCAAGGAATGCTTATAAAGTCTGTTGCACTCCTGAATGTTTCCTTGAACTATAACATTGCACTTAAAACATTAACCGATAGTTTTATGTTAAGTATTTTTAAGTGTTTTCATTTACGTTTTCAATTTGTTTTAACAAATGACAATAGTTGCTCAAGTGCTGCTTATTTAAGTCTGTGTTAAGTCCTTGCACTTAAAACCGTAACTGATAGAAGCGGCTTCTTTGAGTGTTTTCATTTACATTTTTAATTTGTTTTGACACTGTTATTGTCTGGCTTCCACGCGATTACTTACAAAAGGTTTGTGTAGTAGATCCAGAAAAGGTGCACATAGGAAATTGACATATACACTGGAACTAAATGTGTACACAAATATAGATGTAAATGATTAGTGAATTGAACACATGCATGTGTCACGTTTCGTGACGTCAGTGGTATGGTCATGGCACGTGCAACACGTTTGTGCATGTGCAACTCTGTAAAATGGTGTAGCACCCGACTGTTAACAATGTGTAGTCAATTTGGTGGGGTTAAGTGGGTGACGCCTTTGAAAAACTTAAACGGTTAATGAACCGCACATCATGGCACAACTCACGGCTGCACAACATCTTGATGCTGTTGGCATGGTCCGTTGGGATGGTCCACTGCCGCCACGGAAACACCATTTCAGCACAGTTGAAACGTTATCAGAACAACAATGAAGTTGCCGACGACCACAGGTTACAACACCAAGACAGGACAAAGGTGGCCCATCTCAAGCACATGTTCCTGACTCCAGTGACCACTGTTCGGAACACAACGACGTCGTCCCGCCATACTACCTATCAAGAAAACCGTCTAAGGCTGTGCTGAAATCATGTCGGTCAAAATCTGTTGTGGCGGAGGACTGGTTTTACAGACAAGTCCAGAGTTAACAAGCCATTTCACAAACCTTTTATTCCCACGTGATAGACTATCTGCACTACTACACACTATGGTGGTGCGTGAACCTGTGCAAAGAGGTCACGAATCAGTTGCAGTTAGGCAACTTTGATCGCGGAGAGTCCTTGAATGGAGCGTGTTTTGCAGCTTGACTCCTGAGAGTTTCTAGGACTTCTGTCCTTCCCCACAACGTAGCACATGTAATACATTTGGTCTCACCTTAGGCAAGTGAGTTTGATCAAAACTGCCCCTTTTTACCCAGCAGAAAATGGGTACCCGGTGAAATAGTCATGTTACTATAACCTTCTAGCGCCTCAAACTGTCTGCGCTATGAGCATGCTGTCTGTGTGAATTTAGCGCAGTATAAATGGACTAATTATTATTATTTTTATTACTATTCTCGCTGCTCGCGATGGGCATAGTTGCTGAACCCCGGCCCCGCATCTGTACTCTCAATGTCATGGACAATAAACATGCTCTTTTGATGTCTTCTTATCCAACTATTAAAGGTTACATGTAAACTTTTCATTGTTGTTCAAACTTCGAAAGAACTAACAATGCACTTTTTTTTTCGTAACTTGAACATTGCCGAGTGCAGCTTTTATCAGCACACAAATAGACAAACAAACAATGGTTCAAGGAAAGCAAGGGAAGAAAAATTTATGGATGTCAACTTCTTTATTGTAAATAACACAATCAGGTGATGAAAGAGCAAGCATACGCTCTGAAACGAAGTGTTATTCACAATTATTGACATCCATAAATCTTGCTTTCCTTATGCTTTCCACTTCTAAATGCCCTTCAAAGATCTAAAGAATGGTTTGGTGTCATCACTGATTTCAGTGGCCCATTGACATAGTTTTACAGCTACTTTGCCCTTTACACCAAATGGAATCTGTTTCTGGGGATAGTTAAGGCTGGGTATGGTTCTGCACAATTCACAATGCTCAACAATATACGTGGCTTTATGTACCGCCCACAATGATGACGCTTGAAAATTGCTTGGCGTGACGTCACACATTAATCCCTCATTCACTTCACCTATATACGAATAAAGTAATTCTAGTTTGTGCCAACAGTGAACTTTTGTTCGCTTGTTATTTTACTTCGCAGTTGTCAGAATTATCAGATGTACATCACGGCGGCCTTTAAATATAGAATTAGGACTGTTTATATAGGACATATCAACTCCGACTAAAGGCGTAACTAAACATTTAAAGCAGCGAAGCCTGTCTAATTTCGACACAGTCACACCGGATACTCAGCCTTCCGGATGATACGCTTAGGGCTTGTTTGTTTGGTTTTCTTCTTTCAAATTTTATTCATCACCCACTTACAAGTTTGCTACACTTGTGTTTATACATATAAAAACACTTATATGCATATACGCTTATGTGCGCGTGTACATACATACAGTAAAACACCTTTATAACGAACTCTAAGGGACCACTGAAATTAGTTCGTTGTATCTATAGTTCGCTATTCACTTTTTATATGGTAATATCAGGTTTATTCGGGACTTTTAAAACAGTTCGCTATAGCCGTCAGTTCGTTATATCCGTGTTCGTTATAAAAGTATTCTAAAACAAAATAACCTTTTCAGAAACAATGAGAAGCATTTTACACGCAACTCAAAACAACGGGTGATGGTGGAGATGATAAACAGCCTCCCATACATGCCAATGAAAGGTTCTGGAAATAGTTGTGGTCTGTACACGGCGACTGTAACCTTGAGGCACCATGGGCCCATGATTACAATCATGCAATGCATGAGAAAATAACTAAGTCGTTTGTCTGTTACATCTCACCAAATTGCCTGAAAAGTGTTATCAAAAAGTCTAAATCTAATACAGCTCCTGGGCCTGATGGCATTCGAAGCCGGTATTGGGACTGTTCCCCTGTGTCCAAACATCATTACTTCCCTGTTTCAATTCTCTCGTAGACTCAGGTGATGTTCCTCCGTGGTTCTGCAAAGGTCGCACAATACTCCTTCCCAAAAAAGGAGACTTGACTGATCCCAAAATCTTCCGCCCTATCACACGTTTGAATACACAATATAAAATATTCACAGGGTGTTTGATAAACCTCATCTCATCTTACTGCTCTTCTGATGACATAATTCATAGAGCAGAAGGGAGCGAGAAAGGGATGTTGGGGGTGCAAGGATCAACTTCTTGTACTAAATATGATTTTTGAAGAGGCTAAAACATATCACCGCAACCTCTCCAGTGCTGGATTGACTGGTCCTGGTCGGCTCAACTTTACATGTACTCACAAGAGCAGGTGCAGACTCAGAATCTATTCCAATCAGAAGGGGAATATTCCAGGGGAATTCCTTTGTCCTTTGTTTTTGCTTGTCTTTAAATCCTTTGAGTTTTCTGTAAAGAGGGGTTACCATCCTGGGCCCCGTTCCTGAAAGCGATCGTAGCGCTAAGGTGATCGTAACTCCAATACTCTAAAATAGACTTACGACTGTCGTAGCGCTACGATCGCTTTGAGGAACGGGACCCTGGACCCCCTTAGCACAAATCCCAAACACCGTTTACTCATGTCCTTTACATGCATGACATCGAGCTCCTTGTCAAAGGCGATACCAACTTGAAAGAACAGGTTCTCCTTGTCTGATGATATTGGCATGGCATTTAAACTCAACAAATGTAATATTCTTCATTTGAAACATGGCAAGGTAACTAATGATGGACTGGTCAAGTTATAATGGGAAGGAGAGGGATGCAAGTTCGAGACAAGCTCTAGAATGCCCAGATTCAAGACACTTCGGGCCGAGTATAATAGTCGCTTAAAGAAAATTCGGAGCTCAGAGCTAAACGCTCGAAACAAGGTTAAACCCAACATGCCTTTGCTGTGCCAGTTCTTTCCTATTCCTTTGGAGTAGTTGTTTGGACAAAACAAGATATCCAGAGTCTTGACCGTCTGACCAGAAGGATCATGTCTGATAACAGAGCCCAACACCCTCGTTCCTCTCTCAATCGTTTATATATACCAATCAATTCTAGAGGTCGGGGTTTGATTAATGTGGAGGCTCTTCATGATAGAATTTTATTGTGTACTTTTGCACATATTTATTTATCGGATGATCCTCATGATGAAAACAAGGAATTCCACAGATATTTTAAGCGTGCCAAGGTTGTTGGACAAAATCTGAAATTTGACATTGATTTTGTTGATGTTGCAGAATTGATGGACTGTAAAACAAAACTCACTCACTAGATGCTCATACCTGTATCATTCTCTGTGATGCCCGTGTCAGGGATGTCGTTCGATACCACCGCCACACCGTCAGCCCTCGTCGTAAACAACGCCAACACCACCAATGTAAGAAGCATCATCGTGAGGTACTCTGCGAACACTGCAATGACGAAGAATACTTGCACACTCTATATACGTATTATCGTCGGCGACAGCACCCTTTTTATTCACTGTAATATCGTTTCGAGTTTGCAATTGTCTTATTAACTGATAAGAACATCCGCTCCGAAATACCAACATCCGGCCTTACACACATTAAAAAATAGTTGTACATGCTCTTAAAAGGTTAACTTATTACATTTTGATGTGAAACGTGAGGGGAATTCTTCTCTGAACGAATTATTGATAACTTGCGATATGCGAGACGGGGCCCAGCTTACTTCCGGTACCAGGTATTCGGTGACAAGTGTATATTCAAGAACCAGTTCTGGTTCCAAATTGAGCGACCGCCAAATATGACTTTACTAGACCGGACGAAGTATACGTTGTTTGTCACTGGGAGTACTAAGGTCTCGCGAAGTGGCGTGACCTACTTACAGGCCCTATGGGGAGCTACCTGGAGTAACTATTTTATGTTCAGCGGTAGGAGAGGAGGACATTTTTTTTGATCATCAAGCCCATGCTTTTACAGAAAAATATCTGAGCTTCCTTTTTTGTTGGTGACAGCTGTCCACAGAATATTTTCATCAGAAAGAAAGTATTTACTGAACACCTGGCCATGTTGGAAATAATATTGAGTTCCTTAACATCAACACCCCGAAAATTAAATGGTTGCTCCCTCACTGGTATAACGGATGTTATAATATGTCATAGTGTCTTACTACGGGTTCGAATCCCAGATGGGACTCATCCCAAAATTGTACTATACTCTGTACTTTACAGAGAAAGTGTAATCCAATTTCATCTTGAAGACCCTGGTTAGAATTGGTCTTCAGCAACCCGTGCTTGACGTAAAAGGCGACTAACGGGATCGGGTGGTCAGGCTCGCTAACTTGGTTGACGCATGGCATTGTCACCCAATTGCATAAATCGATGCTCATGCTGCTGATCACTAGATTGTCTGGTCCAGACTCGATTGCCTACAGACCGCCAACGTATAGCTGGAATATTGCTGACTCGCTAAACAACAAGCCCATCAACGTGACGTTAAACCAAACTCCCCTGGAGATGACGTGTTACAAAAGTTAAAAGAGTGAGCAACAGAATGATGTTATTTCATTCAACAGTCGGCAATGGTCCGGCTATATCACGGCAAGCTAGTGGTGGATAGCATGAGGGATACGATCACACACTGGTGATGGATAGCATGAGGGATACGATCTCACACTGGTGACCAGGAAATACATTGAATAACCACCACATGTACATTATCGCTAAAACAAACAAACAACGAACAAACACACATCACTACACCTACCACACGATGTACATCAATAAAGTAAATGTCAATGTTCTTTCATCTATAATGTTAAAACATCTACCATAAAATCAGACAGTAATACCTACCTATACCAACACCCAGCAATGAGTGAGACGATGACGAACACAAATCTACTTATGTATCAGAGTGTCCATGCAGGACTTGCATGGTCACGTGGGATCTTGACGGGTTTAATGAAATCTGGGGGTGGATATGCGTGCCGTGTGTTTTATTATGCACATTCATGACTCGTGCACAAATACGTGATTTGGTCACAGCCAGGTAAGTTAATATAACAGTCCCAGTTGCATAAAGGTTGGAACAAATGGCAATAGTTGGTCAAGTAATGCTTATAAAGTCTGTTGCACTCCTGAATGTTTCATTGAACTATAACATTGCACTTTAAAACATTAACCGATAGTTTTATGTTAAGCATTTTAAGTGTTTTCATTTACGTTTTCAATTTGTTTTAACACTTTACTATCTCGTTGGAACAAATGACAATAGTTGCTCAAGTGCTGCTTATTTAAGTCTGTGTTTTCTTGCACTTAAAACCTTAACTGATAGAAGCGGCTTCTTTGAGTGTTTTCATTTACATTTTTAATTTGTTTTGACACTGTTATTGTCTGGCTTCCACGCGATTACTTACAAAAGGTTTGTGTAGTAGATCCAGAAAAGGTGCACATAGGAAATTGACATATACACTGGAACTAAATGTGTACACAAATATAGATGTAAATGATTAGTGAATTGAACACATGCATGTGTCACGTTTCGTGACGCCAGTGGTATGGTCATGGCACGTGCAACACGTTTGTGCATGTGCAACTCTGTAAACTGGTGTAGCACCCGACTGTTAACAATGTGTAGTCAATTTGGTGAGGTTAAGTGGGTGACGCCTTTGAAAAACTTAAACGGTTAATGAACCGCACATCATGGCACAACTCACGGCTGCACAACATCTTGATGCTGTTGGGATGGTCCGTTGGGATGGTCCACTGCCGCCACGGACCAGCACAGTTGAAACGTTATCAGAACAACAATGAAGTTGCCGACGTCCACGGGTTACAACACCAAGACAGGACAAAGGTGGCCCATCTCAAGCACATGTTCCTGACTCCAGTGACCACTGTTCGGAACACAACGACGTCGTCCCGCCATACGACCTATCGAGAAAACCGTCTAAGGCTGTGCTGAAATCATGTCGGTCAAAATCTGTTATGGCGGAGGACTGGTTTTACAGACAAATCCAGAGTTAACAAGCCATTTCACAAACCTTTTATTCCCACGTGATAGACTATCTGCACTACTACACACTATGGTGGTGCGTGGTCCTGTGCACAGAGATCAGGTCACGAATCAGTTGAAGTTAGGCAACGTTGAGCGCGGAGAGCCCTTGAATGGAGCGTGTTTTGCAGCTTGACTCCTGAGAGTTTCTAGGACTTCTGTCCTGCCCCACAACGAAGCACATGTGATACATGTGGTCTCTCACCTTAGGCAAGTGAGTATGATCAAACTGCCTGTTTATCCAGCAGAAAATGGGTACCCAGTGGGATAAGTCATGTTACTATACCCTTCTAGCGCCTCAAACTGTCTGCGCTATGAGCATGCTTTCTGTGTGAATTTAGCGCAGTATAAATGGACTAATTATTATTATTTAGATTACTATTCTCGCTGCTCGCGATGGGCATAGTTGCTGAACCCCGGCCCCGCATCTGTACTCTCAATGTCATTGACAATAAACATGCTCTTTTGATGTCTTCTTATCCAACTATTAAAGGTTACATGTAAACTTTTCATTGTTGTTCAAACTTCGAAAGAGCTAACAATGCACTTTTTTTTAGTAACTTGAACATTGCCGAGTGCAGCTTTTATCAGCACACAAATAGAAAAACAAACAATGGTTCAAGGAAAGCAAGGGAAGCAAAATTTATGGATGTCAACTTCTTTATTGTGAATAACACAATCAGGTGATGAAAGAGCAAGCATACGCTCTGAAACGTAGTGTTATTCACAATTAAGAAGTTGACATCCATAAATCTTGCTTTCCTTATGCTTTCCACTTCTAAATGCCCTTCAATGATCTAAAGAATGGTTTGGTGTCATCACTGATTTCAGTGGCCCATTGACATAGTTTTACAGCTACTTTGCCCTTTACATCAAATGGAATCTGTTTCTGGGGATAGTTATGGCTGGGTATGGTTCTGCACAATTCACAATGCTCAACAATATACATGGCTTTATGTACCGCCCACAATGATGACGCTTGAAAATTGCTTGGCGTGACGTCACACATTAATCCCTCATTCACTTCGAATAAAGTAATTCTAGTTTGTGCCAACAGTGAACTTTTGTTCGCTTGTTATTTTACTTCGCAGTTGTTAGAATTATCAGATGTATATCACGGCGGCCTTTAAATATAGAATTAGGACGAGACATACTGTTTATATAGGACATATCAACTCCGACTAAAGGCGTAACTAAACATTTAAAGCAGTGAAACCTGGCTTATTTCGACACAGTCACTCCGGATACTCAGCCTTCCGGATGATACGCTTTGGGCTTGTTTGTTTGGTTTTCTTCTTTCAAATTTTATTCATCACCCACTTACAAGTTTGCTACACTTGTGTTTATACATATAAATACACTTATATGCATATACGCTTATGTGCGCGTGTACATACATACAGTAAAACACCTTTATAACGAACTCTAAGGGACCACTGAAATTAGTTCGTTGTATCTATAGTTCGCTATTCACTTTTTATATGATAATATCAGGTTTATTCGGGACTTTTAAAACAGTTCGCTATAGCCGTCAGTTCGTTATATCCGTGTTCGTTATAAAAGTATTCTACTGTATATACACACAAACACACACCCATATACGCCTTCACATAATACAAGAGTACAAGATACATAGTTTGCTACTAACCATGTAAATATAGGTTGGAATACCTCCCCCACCCCTATCCAAAAGGACAAACAAAACCAAAACAAACAACATAAATCAAATAATATATTTTTTGTACAAAAATACAATAAAAAATGTTTTAAAAATACAAAAACAATTAAAAAATAAAGATACATTGAAATTGATATTTTGCCCTCTGTCTTAGGTTTAAGCCATATTGTTAGTTTTCTCCGTAGTTCTTTAACATATATTTTGTAATATTCACTAAATAAATGACCAGTTGTTTCTGGCTCGTGCTCACAGAATGTACATAGACGTGTTCTTATAGCCAGTTTTACACAAAAATACATTTGTAGGACAAATTTTATACAATATTTTTGTTTGTAACCATCGCAGATTGCTACTCTTTGTGCATCTATGATTTTCCATTTACCGTTATCTTCAGTTAGTCTTCTAACCCAAGTGAATTTTTGTGAAATGATTAAATCATTTAGAGTGACACACTTATTAAGTAGTGGCGGGTGAGGGGAAGAGGGTGTGGAGGACTGATGATTTTGTTTGGTTTATGATTTCAAAACAAATTTCTTCCTAAGCATTTCGTCAGAAGAAGAGGGTATGGAGGAATATGACTGAGTTTTATATAGCTAAAAAAATTTAAAACAAATTTTTCTGATCGTGTCTAGGGTGATGGGTGATGGGTGTTGGATGGGTGTGTGTTTGTCAGTATAAAATCATATTCCTGGGTA